GAAGAATTTGATTTTTATAAATTATGAAACTGAAATCACTATATGGTGATACAAAAAATATCTAAATTCTTCCCAAATAAATAGTTCGTTCACATCTCACTGAAAGTCAGAGGAATTATTTTCTGTTTTTGCTTATTGCAGTTTAATTTACTAGCATACTCTACCATTTAAGCTGAATATGGTTTAAATCCTGTTGAATAACATTGTGTGATATTAATGTTTAACTTAAAATTTTGTATCTCTCCCCCCCCCATACACATTTCCAGTCTTTCCAGATATCCATCCCTTTCAACACTTTGGGATCCTCAAGATGGGAGAAAGTGTTGGTTCCCAACCACAACTGGAACTGGCAGCAGTCATTTTAGGACATTAAAGTCTCCCCCATCCTGACACTCCCAAATTTATTTCATTTATATATTTAAAATAATCTTATTACCTCCCCCCTTTCTCCTTAAAAAGGATCCCAAGGCAGCTAATAACATTAAAAAACAATGTTTCAAAGATAAAAACAGTGACAACAAAGGTTCCCTTTGACAATTTCTGTCCAGTCGTGTTCAACTAAATTTATTTCATTTATATATTTAAAATATTCTTATTCCGTCCCCCCTTTCTCCTTAAAAAGGAACCCAAGGCAGCTAATAACATTAAAAAATAATGTTTCAAAGATAAAAACAGTACGTATACAAATATTTCAAATACTCAAACAAATGCTGGTAAACAAAATCATTAGCAAAAACAGATTCAAAGCAATAAGGCACAACACTGCATTAAAAAAAATCCTTTCAGACAGCCGATCACTAAGGGAAAGCCTGTTTGAAGATAAAGGTCTCCATCTGTTTATGGAAGGAAAGCAAAAATGAGGCCAGCAAAGATGGCCTCTTATGGGAGGAAGTTCCAGAGTCTGGATGCAACAACAGAGAAGGCCCTCTCCCATGTCTCCAGCAAATGTGCCTGTGAAGAAAAAGACTTCCGCTGATTATCTTAATTGCCAACAAGCTCATAAAGGGAAATTTCCCCAGGTCAGAAGGATTACCTAGGAAGCCTTAGAGCCTAAAAGGAATAGGAATCTTTAAATTAAAAATTAGCACCCATGAATGATGATGCCATCTGCTTTATACACAGAGAGTTACTTAACAGGGTTTCAGCTAATATATCATGTATACAGTATTCAAAAATGGTCACTTAAATGTGACCAGCTTCAAGTGGAAACCTTGTTTTATCATTTTTTGCAGTAAACATTCTATGAACTTCTAGTTAAGTTCAGGAGTTTACATCAGCAACAAAAACAATAACCTACCCATGGATGTATGAGTGATTTGGAGGGGTGAGTTTGAAAAGCCTGTTATTGTGAATTCCAGTGCATATCAAAATTAAGGGGGCGGGAAAGAAGAAAAGGAAAGGTAGGGGAATGCTCGGGAAATTAAAGGGGGGAAAAAACCCTGGATTTCCAAGGGCCATGCAGAACCAATGTTGGAAGAGAATCATCCACTACTTAATTCCTCTTAAGGCAGGGGTGAGCAATTAATTTCTATAGGGGGCCCCATGAAAAATCTGAACTGTGTTCAGGGGCCAAACCAACTTTACTTAAAAATAAAATGAAACAGTGATGTTATGATTGTTTTTATTTTAAACTTTTTAATCCTCACAAATACTAAAGAGGTTTTTTGCGATATGTTAAAGATAAGCATGGGACGTGGTGGTGCTGTGGGCTAAACCACAGCAGCCTGTGTGCTGCAGGGTCAGAAGATCAAGCAATCATAAGATCGAATCCACGCAATGGAGTGAGCTCCTGTCACTTTGTCCCAGCTCCTCGCCAACCTAGCAGTTCGAAAGCATGCAAATGTGAGTCGATAAATAGGTACCACCTCGGTGGGAAGGTAAAACGGCGTTCCCTAGTCATGCTGGCCGCGTGACAATGGAAACTGTCTTCATAGCTGGCTCTACGGCTTGAAAACGGGATGAGCACCGCCCCGTAGAGGCAGACACGATTGGACTTAAATGTCAAGGGGAACCTTTACCTTAAAGATAAGCAACTGATCAACTTTAGACAAAAAGCTATAAATGGTTTTGATGTTCAACTTGTTCAGTGAGAGAAATCCAGTCTAGCTTGGGCTTGAACAAGTGCTTGAACACTGAACTGGAGCGACAACCAGCGGGCCGGACAGGCACTTTGCCCAGGTCTGTCTTGAGGGGTTCTTACTGGCCCGTGCTAGAATAAAATTTAAAACTATTTTAGCCCAAATTGCCCTTGTAGAAGGCTGTAGCTTTGTGGCAGATCACATTTTTTGCATCCAAAATGCTCTGGCAACAATCTGTCAATAGTCTCCTTTCTGATACCCTGTCTAGCAGCTGCCAAACTGTAAATAACATTATCTAAATGGCCTTTGCTTAAGGCAGCTTCACAAACAAAATCTTACATTCTTTTCATCTAAACATCTATATGTTTTATCTAACCAATAGTTTATAACTGGCGTATATCTTTAGTTTCCTTCAAGGAACTCAGGATGACATAGATGGCTAACTTCTTCCCTACTTTAACCCCTGACCTACCCTTTGAGGTAGGATGTTCTAAAAGAAAGATGATTGGCCCAAGTTCACCTAGTTTCATAACAAAATGTGGAGCTGGAACTTTCAAGTCTCAGTATCCACTATGCCTTCTTGCCTATAATTTTTTTCTGGTCCAACCTCTTGACATAGTATGACCAAGTTCATTTTAAATTCACAGAGGAGCAGCATTGGGCCAGGATGATTTGAAGGATCGCTTACTCCTTTAAACATGTCTTTTAATAATCAGAATCCTTGTCCTGTGTTCATTCACTATGGGAGGCACAGCCAACAGTAGTGCGCAAATAGGCTTTCACAGTGATGCCACCCTTATTGTGGAATATCTTTAAGAGAGGATCAGCCACCTTTTTTGTTATTGGCTTTTAAAAGGTTTTAACAACATATTAACTTTACTGGCTGTTTCTTTCAAAATAAAAAGCAGTTCTTCCTGTTTTAAATCTAATCTTTACTGTATCATTATTTAGGATGCATGTGAAATACTTTGCAGAGAAATGATCTGGAAGTTGAGTCATTAGTTAAATTTGTTAGTGCCACTAAGTTTACTTCACATCTTTTTCACTCACACCCCCTCCTTTGTCCATCTAAGGAGCCTATTCACACCACGGGGAAGTGAAACTAATGTGGAGGATATATCAGGGATCCTCTACAAACTCTCCATAGACTGAAGAAGGTACTTGGATGGGTAGCAAAACTTTTCAGCCTTATAGGAAAGAAGTCTAGTTGCCACAACTCAACTTCCAGATAACCTCATCTGGATGATAGAATCTTCACAGATATTTTACAGAGGAGAGAAGCTATGGTTCCATAAATAATCAACAACCTTTCTGATCCCTCATACACACTTTATGCAAAACTGGTTTCTAGGGTGCACTTTTGTTGAGCAGTTGCAGTTTCTGCAGCCAATGAATGCAGCCACTTAGTGGGGCTTTACAATTTAGTAAATTATTTGATTAAAAATATAAGTAATTACAAACTCACAAGTGGCAGGCAATGCTGCCTTAGAGGAGGCTCTCCTTCCTCTTCTTCATACACTTAGGAAGGAATGGGTCTTCTGGGAGGGTGCCTGCTCTTGTGACATCTGTGGTATTTCAAACTAAAGATGGTTTTTCTTCAGCTGCTTGTGTTCTGTAAGGTGCTCATTTTCAGAAAAACAACTACATATGCAGCTCAGTCAAAACTGACATAATTAAAGATCAGTTTTTCTACCCAAGGAGCCTCTGGAAGCAGAGGGACTATCCAAAACACAAAAAGCCCAAGTGAGAAAATGAATCCAGAAGTGGCTGCTCACCATTTCTAGAATTTTTTTTAAAATTAAGATTTTTTTTTCACTCTTTTAGTATTAAACATTGCATGGAGGGCCCTTTGACTTACCTTGAAGGTGTACCACAGTTTCTAGAGACTTCAGTGGACTGGGTGGGGTTGTTTTTGTTGGTTGTTTTTTTTTTTAAATGAGCCTAAAGGATGCAAAAAGAGTCTTGAGACCTCACATGTTCCCTTTGCTGCATGTTGCTTGCCCTTGCCCTAGAAGGAGGCAGGATTTCTTTCTGAAAAAGATCACCCTGCAGAACAGATAGCTGACTCTGAGGTTATGCATGCTATGGCAAATTAGATGCGATAGTATTAGTCAAACTGTTTAATTGTTTGTAGAGCCTGGAGAAATTACTCTTTTGGTCTATAAGTACTATGGTTCCTTGTTCTGGTCTCTGGATCACACATGGGGGTATTTCTGCATCTGTGCAAAACTCATCGGAACATTCTAGAGCTCCAAGCAAAAAGGCCAAAAGGGCAGCCCTTCTCCCTGCACCTCGTGGTTATCCCTTGGTTCTCTTTAGCTGAGGAAACTTCTTGGTGTTTTTTCTACAGCCTTTTCCCCTAGTTACTGTATGTACCTCAGATATTACCTTTGTCCATCATCATCTTCCATTGTCTTTGTTTCTTTGCCTCTCCAGCCTTCTGTGAATTTTCCCCCTGAAAGAAGAAGTTAGTATTTGTGTTCATAATCTGCAGCCTCCCATCTTTTTATGACCGCAGCGGTCCCTTTCAAAAAATGCATCGTATGCACCAACAAAATCCCCCTCACCGAGGGACATTCTAAGTGTTTGTATTGCCTTGGTGAAGGACATGAAACCCAAACCTGCCAGCACTGTTGTCAATTTACAAAGTCATTACTAAAAACTGACAGTGCCAGCTCAACTTCCACCTCTGGGAGAAGTTGTTGCAGGCTATAGGGTCCCTTCCCTAGCAATCCTCCTCTGTTCCGCTGGTATCCATGTAAGCATAAAGAAGCCTACAAAGTCTTAGCCTGGGTAGGAAATCAAAGCTGAAGCCCAGGAGTCTGAGTCTGCCCTGGGTAGGAAATCAAAGCTGAAGCCCAGAGCCTCAAAGGGTAATTCACTGGCTTCAGGAAAATCTTCAGACCAGCCACCAACAGCTAGCTCTCCTCCCCAGTCTGCAGAGACAGAACAAGAAGAGCTGGTGTGCCTTGGGTCTGCTGTGGAAGAAAAGACAATGCCTCCAGGCTTCGTCCCCAACTTTCAGCCAGTTTCCAGAATGGACTTGGCTTACTCAATATGTGCTTGGTAGGATCTCCCACAACCAGGAAAGCCCGCATTCCAAAACCCAGCATCCCCCCTAAGAGCAAACAACATCCCCACTGTTCATCTTCTGAATCAGTCTCCAGCTTGGAAAAAAAAGCCTGCATCACATCCGAAGAGTCTATACAAGATCCACCACCAACAGGAAATCAAATAGGATCTGATGTGCCTGCTCCTGTATTTTTACAGTTTCATGCCCTATCACTACCTGGGGCCAGAGTGGCATTTATCCCAACCCTTATACGAATATTCTCAGGTGCAGCAAGAGAGGCATCCAAACTCTCTCCAAGGTATGCCACTGTACACCCCAATGCCACCCTTCTGTTCTGGGAGCCAGGAATCAAGGCCTGATGCAAGGGCATGGCAACTCCAAGTCAAATCCAATGGAACATGAACACAGGTCCGGGTAGCATCTGCGCAAGACAAAGTAAGCAGACTGGCAACTTGCCGCCTAAACATGAATCACACTGCTTGGTATTGTGATTGCCACTGGATGACAAACCTCACAAGGGTCTTGAGAGGTGGGATGCTTGAACGACATCACTAGCCTGAGCTCAGCCTGACATTTTGATGTTGAGGGCATCAGCACCAAAAAATAGAGAATATCCCATCTCTCTATCCTCTACCTCTTCCATATTGACAGACCAATCAACCTCACATAAATGACACCATCACCACTTATCATGGTCTCAGTTGTGATCCCAATCGCTAAAGCAGACCCAAGAGCACTAACATACACACACTGATACACAAGACTGGTCCCTGGTTTTAGCATAGAAAAAAAATTGAAGATAATCATGCAAAAACCTAAAAATGTGAATGTTTCAATTCTAGATGTACCAACTGAGAAGGTACATTTGGTCAGAGACGTGAAAAACATTGGCAGATGTGGGAAACATAGCTTTTTACTACAACTCCCAGAAGCTGACCAAAGGTGGTGCCTTTGCTGTTTACCCTCTCTAGGAGTTGGGTTATATCTCTTTGTTGGCATTTATTTGCCAGAAAACCAGTATTTTCTACCATGTAGTGTTTGAGGAACTTTCTCATAACCCTTCTTTCAATGTAACATAACTATAAAGTACTAACGTTTTGCTCAAATAATATCATTTGTTGGGAACATAGAACATAAACACATCTGGTCTGAGTTTAGAGCAGCCTTGTAAGTGACTTTGGAGATGAATATCCAAATCAATATGTTTTATTTACAGTAAGTGTACTTGTCAAACCTTGATGTTTTGTTTCCCCAGGAACTTCTTAACATTTTAAAAATCCCACCCCCAAGATGTTTGCAAAAGCAACAAGAAATTTTGTGAGAGAGGTTGACTGTGGAGGAGACTTGATTCCTGTCTCCAGTCTGAATAATTTGGATAAACTGCATTTCCTGAGCTTGGTGACAAAGAAGAAGAAAAGCTGGTGCTGGCAAAAGCCCAAGTACCATCTTTTGTCACTCTCGCTGAATGATGTGCTTGCTAAAGACAAACCCATAAACCCAGGTAACATTACAGTTACACAGTGTTACAGTAGGTTTTTTTTTTAAAGTGCAGTGTAACCATTAATAAAATAAAATGTCAAATAGGATTACTGCAGATTTGAGAGTTTTTTTAAAAAGTTAATAAGTTGAACTATGGTAACACTTTTCGGAAAATCAGGTACTGTGGGGTTATTCCATTTAATATGTTAGTTTGCTCTTGCTTTAAAGCAATCTAAAGTAATCTGAGTTACCATTTTAAATTGAAATTGTTTCTTCAGAGCAACCAATGAAAGCAACATTGTTGATTCAGAATGATGATGCCATTATATAGGATTGATATTTTACAGGTTGAAATACTTTTTCAGGCTGCTTTGCCTTTCAGATACTCTAAAGAGGATAACTCGCAAATAAAATAAGCTGATAACCTTGTATTCAGGCAAAACTACAATAAACAATCCTGTTACCATGTCATTAGAGGCAAAGCATCCTTAAGGTGAAAAAAAAAAAACCCTATGTTTATTTTAACAGGAGATTGCCTCAGTCCTCACTTGGCACATTAACCTGTTTTGAATCAGTAAATTGGGAAATAGCATGGTTTCATTTGCATTTCTGATGTCTCAGGTACTCAGCACTGACAGATGTGCATGTCTGCAAGGATAATGCTTTAAGAGGGAGACGTGTATTTGCCTTAACATGTGATTTGACTCATAGTCCAACTATATTTTAGTCTGTTGCGCCACAAAGGAATTTATGGTACTTGAACCCTTAGGCCAGAATTCAGTTGCATTTCACCATATATGGAGGAGAAGGAGTGAAAGCTGCTGTAGCTAATTAACAAGGAACCCTCACACACTGTGCTTATTCATGTAGCCAGTTATGTAACCAGCATGTAGCTGGAACCTTGTCAGTTAGCTAAGATGGCTTCTGCAACTTTGTTTCCATGCATAGTAAATAGCAGTAGGATTCTGGCCCTTAGACTTCCAAAGAGAATGTATCTAAAGGGGTCCAAAGGATAACACATTTCTTGTGGCATAAGGTTTTGTGGGCTAGAGTTCACTCCATCAGATGCAAGATGTTATTCCCTTTTAATGTGGTGTATACATAAACCAGGGGATATGATGGCACTATGGGTTAAACTGCAGAAGCCTCTGTGCTGCAAGGACAGAAGACCAACAGTTGTAAGATCGAATCCACGCGACAGAGTGAGCTCCCATTGCTTGTCCCAGCTTCTGCCAACCTAGCAGTTCGAAATCATGTACATGCGAGTAGATAAATAGGTACCACTACGGTGGGAAGGTAACGGCATTCCGTGTCTAGTCGCGCTGGCCACATGACCATGGAAACTGTCTACGGACAAATGCTGGCTCTATGGCTTGGAGATGGGGATGAGCACCGTGGCCTAGAGTCAGACACAGCTGGACTAAATATCAAGGGGAACCTTTATCTTTACCTATATATAAACTAGCATAGAGGGAAAACTTGTAAACATTGCAGTCAAGTCAGTTGAGCTACAGGGAATTCACTCAGTGGCAGTTCTACTAATGAAAAGATGTTTTCAACAGAAGTAATTGGTGACAACAGAATCATTGTAGCATTGCTAGGTAATTTAGTGCCTGCAGTCAGATATACATGTTCCATAATATACATATCCCCCTCCTATTTATAATTCTAAGACTGGCCTAACTGGGAACCAAACCATGGCTAGACTTTGCTTTCTTCTATAACCAGAAAACAGATTTGCATGTGCAGTTGAGATAAAGCAAGGCAGGGCTGAATCAAAAACTTCAGCACCACTCCAAGATCCAGAGACCTGCACATATAGGAAGGTTTCTATTATGAATAAAAGACCACACACATGTGGTGCAAATATCCTTTGAAATATGCTTAAGACATTGTGGCATGTGGCACTTGGGGCTTCTTCAGGTTTTCTCATTGGTTCATAGGTACAAGGTCCAGATGGAATAATATGAGTAGAGTGTTGTAGGTTGAGGGACACTTCCAAATGAATTTATTTGGCTTTTCCTCTTTTTTTATTTAATTTAAAAAGAGATCCCAGTTGTACTTCAGGTAGTGGTGACTCATGGCCCAAGCAGGGAGGGTTAACGTCCTACCACTGTGGAATGAGTCATTCTACTCTGCTCAGGCCACATGCCACTCACTGGTGGCTTCAGGCCTGATCTTCTAACATCTGGATAACATTTTGATTCCCTCCACCAACAGTTGTTGTGGAATCTGACTTTGCGAAATATGAGGGGACATTTGAAGACTATGTCACGGGAAGTATCGCAACATCTCTTGGAAAGATTAATCTCACAGCTGGAGGAAGAGGTGTCGTGAAAAGCCAGTCATCTTTTGGAAATCTAAAAAAACAAGAGGTTGATTTGCAGACACTTATGACCGATATCAAGGGAAGGTGGGTATTTGTCTTTAGAGCTGATAGACTCTTACAAGAGATTTAAAATACAACAGAATGACTTCAAAGTTTTTGGGAAACAGCTGCAACTAGAAAAGGTCTTAGTGGCTGAAATCTGACTTAGCTATATGATGATGTCACTGTCCTGGAGAAAATTTTGGATGGTGCTAATACAAGAATTGCTAAGAATACAAAAATATTGGTTGCAACAAGCACCTCCCTTTCATTATTGAAGAACAATAATAAGAGCAAGTCTGAAAAGGACCCTGTGGAAAGTTATAATTTGGATTGGATTCATGAGTGGACTGACATGGGGAGTCAGCTTGGTGGAATGTGACAAAGGATTACACTGTTGCTCTCTGGTCTTGCTAGCTCTGTTCTGAAAGAACAAAGCTCGGTATTATGAAACTGCAGGCAGTGGTTTGGACAGAAATTAATCGGGTGACTATTAGTTATTCCAGTACTCAGGGCAGGGCAGAGATCCAAGTGGCAGGATTTAGAGTTCAAACAGCCTCACAGTTCCATTACTATGAAAATATACTATTGGTGATTGAACTACAACATGGGAACTCTTCCCTCCTCCCTCTTTTCGTTTATTCTTCTGTTAATCCTGATCCAGCAGTTTTGGCCGCCTACTCCTTTGCTTGAGGTAGCCTCATGTGGACTGGTTGTGTAGCTGTGTTCATATTCGAATACAGTTGAAAGTGGCCAAGTAGGATGCATTCTTTCTTTATGTCTTTAAATTGAGAATAGAAATGCATTTGGTATTCTGTGCAAGAAAATGCATGTTTAAAGCTTTGCAGAGGAGGGGAGTATAGAGCAGCAAAAAAAAGCAGGTGTGAAAAAATGTCAAGCATCTCTCTCTTGTTCTCCCTTCTCCCCAGTTGCTGTTCTGCCTCAGCTATCACCTTGTGATACCAGCTGTTCCTGAAAAAACATATCCATCTAGGTTGTTACGAATGTTTCTGCATAATACAGTATATAGTACAGGCATGACTCCTTTTAAAAAGCAGAAGTAACTAAGACCGCAAGGAAAGATTACTTAGTCATCTAGCCTTCTCTGTTTAGATTTGCTTTTAAATGGATTATACATGTTTTTAGGCACTCCAGTAGTTAGTGTGAAAAAGTCTGCTGTAATTGTTGTGATTGATAGTCCTATGCTGTCAAATCAATGTTTTTAGAAGGTGATTTTTTCCAGGGTTTTCTAGGTAGAAATCACCCAGAAATGGTTTAACCATTCCCTTCTCCTGGAGGCATCCTGGGATTGTGCAGCCACATGAGCTGACTCTTCTGGGATTTACAGTGGGGAATTGAACTCCCAGCCTCTGGCTCCACAGACAGATACCTAAACCACTGAGTGATCCAGTCTAGCTAAACACAATAATCCTTCAGTTTCAGTACAAAGCCACTTTGGTGGGGAAGATACTGTTGCCTTTTCCCACATTCTGCTGCCATATCATTGTTGAGTACACATTTTTATGTACGGTTTAAACTCTTACCTGAATGCTGAAGTGATGGAAAGAAGGCATGGAGGCATTTCTATCCACAGAGTGCTGAAAGGTTCGATTGTCATCTTTATTTGGCAATTGATCCTAAATCAACACTTCTTAAACAGCTGATGGCTAGCAGGGATATTATCCTTAATGCAGTGGTCTAACACACTCCTCCCCAACTTCCACATCTTCCAGATTATGTAGTACTGCAGTTCACATTATGCTTAGTTAGCATGAAGAATGATGGTACTATCCATCTTATTTCATTTAGTTGTTTCTGGTTAACTGATATGATCACATAGAAGATTGTTCTGGTTTGACACTAGCATCTCTATACACTTGGCATTTAAATTGCTGTAGTAGTTCACACAGAAATGTTGAAGTATCCCAGGAAGGTGTGGTTCAAGTGTCCACACATCACATCATTCCCCTTGTCACTCATCCTTCTCTATCATTATTACCATCATCCTACCCAAACCTTTTACCAGCATTCAAATCCCTTTTCTGTTCTTTTAATTTATAGAAAGTAAAATAGTGGGGAACTGAGAAGTCATGAAAAGCATTTGAATTGGTGCTGCATCAGTTTAGTGTTACGGCATTAAATCAGACAAATTTATTTTTTAAAAGACAATTTGGTGTCATCAGGACATGTCCAACAATGGCCCTAAAGCAGTAACCACCTTATAGGGACCACGGATCGGTTGGGGGGGCGGGCTCTGTGGGTGGGGGCATGTCATGCTTGTGGGTGGTGGTGGTGGTGTCATGCTCACAGAGGGGCATGTGTGCAAGTGTGACATGTCCACCCGTGAGCACGACACACCCACTGTGTTGGCGGGGGGGGCGGAGATCCATCTCCACAGCCCAGCTCCGGGAAGCCCACAGACTGGCACTGGGCCACGGACCGGGGGTTGGGGACCCTGCCCTAAAGCATCAGTATAGGCAATCACACAAGCCAAAACAAAATAAAGTAATATGACTGGAAATGTGACCCAAACCACAATCCCCGCTAGTTGAACAAAATATACCAGATACTCATGCCAAAAAATTGGATCTATATGCAGTTACTGCTAATATTGTGTAATTGATGGAATAAATTATCGAAAGGAACCGTGAGAAACATGACACAAACAGCAGGACAAATGCCCATTTAGTCTCTCCCTGAGTCTTGCAGTTTATCACTGAACAGTCAATAGTTTATGGAACTATGTTCTGTGTATAGTTTCTAAAGATTTTTTCCACAGTAGCAATTCTTATGTGTTTAATCTTTCTTTCCTCTGCAGAACAATAAATCTGCACAATACATTGTTGCAACAGATGCTTGAAAGAAAGAATGAGGTCCTTTGTATCTTGACAGAGAGAATAGTAACAACTCAGAAGTGCTTAATATCAGAACATATTCAGACAGAAGAAAAAATGGCTGGTATGGTGGGGATACGAACAAAAATTATAAAGGTAAGAAATGTCCATGTATGTTTAAGACTAACAATATAAAAGAGAGAAAAGAACGCAAAACAAAAGAAAACAAAGGACAAAATATTGTAGCACTTCGAAGCCTCTTGTAATTTTTGTCAACATTTTGTCCTTGGTTTCTCTCTCTCTCAATCCTTCCCCCCCCCCCCAATTAGTTTTCATAACATGCTGAAGCTGTCTAACCAAGGTTGTCTCTTGGGAAAATTAACAGTGTTTGTTCCTTTAGTCTCTTCTACTTTTCTTTTGCTGGATGTTTCTCAGCAAAGAGGCTGTGACTCCTGTTTTGTCCATATTGTGTAGTGAGATAAATCTCAGGGACCTTCTCCTCTGCAAGTTCAAGCTTCATCATGAGCTTTTGCACATTAAAAGTTGTGCAGGAATTGAATATGGGAAAAGTTACTTTTTTAGACTACAGCCCACAGAATATCCCAGCCAAAACTGCCATTGCTAGCCAGTCTAGGAGTCTCATTTGTACAAACTTCATTTGCACATATATTGTGTGTAACCTCATTTGCCAGAGAATTGTACAGTATTCTGATTTGTGCCCAGAGTCTATTCCTCAGCCTTACAGAGCTGCAGTTCATGCTTTCCTGTCCAAAGGAAAGAAAAGGCGAGGTGTCAGAAAATATCTGTAACCCAAATTCTTTTCTTTACAATATGATCGCTCTAAAGCAGTTTCACTCAGGGAGCCTTTGGGATGTCTCCCCCCCCCTCCACTAGAGTCACTGCTGCCTATTCCCTCCACCTTTTCCTCTAGGTCAGAGATGGGGAATGTGTGACTGTCCAGATGTCTGTCCCAGTATAATTTAAAGATAACGAACAGTAGGGAGAGAAATCAGGGAAGGTGCCTGTCCATGGTTTGCTGCATCTGAACAACACACTCAGCAGGCACATGGGTCACCTAGGTGTGATCCTCCCCAGCCAAGCAAGATGCATTGCGTTCTAGTCTGCATTATAAAAATCCTAATTTTGCCTTTGCATGTATAAATGAGGGTGTGCACTTTTATGCAAAACAGTGTCTTATTTTGTTCTTGTTTCTGGCGAGGCTTAATTCTCTTTTTTTTGGTGATACACAAGTGGCCACTCTGTTCTAGGCCCAATCTACACAGCCGCCCTGAGGGAAAGTGCAAAGGCAGCAGGGGATATGGCTCCAGTTTTGTATTTGTGGTGTTGGAGAGGCCTGTTCATTGCAGGTGGGCAGACAGCTAAAGCATGGAAAAGGAGCAGCAGATTCTTTGGAGATCAGAAGTGGGTCATCTGTAGGATTGTGGACTTCTGCAGGTTCTTGGCAGTAACAACCCCTGGGTACAGTTCTTGCTGCACAGTATAAAGTTTTTAAGACACCATGTGCCCTGTGCAATTTGAGGGATTTTTGTCATAATTGCCTTAATTGCATTAGGACAAGCAGGATAGCGTTGTTGCTTATAGAGTGTTTGTCAGGTGCACATCTTCAACTGTGTAGCCTTGAGCACTGCTGAATCAAAATGCTGGATATGAGTGGTAATCATGTGTGCTGTTTATAGCCCCAAAGCTATTCTTGATGCTCCAATATCTTCTTCTCTGCCCACCACTGCAGCTTCTATAGAAACTCAGGGAAATTGTGCTTTCAGTAGCATGATTTTCCTGTCAATCAATCCATGATTGCTCTGTACCTTTTTAATTTTTTTTAAAGTAGCCCCAGGACTGTCTGAAGACTGGAGGACCATTGAGTCCACTATTAATGTCAGTAATGGAGTCACAAGTAGTGTGTTAGAGAGACTGCTGCACCATGCTACATCTCTCGTAATCGGTATTCAGCAGTGTACGTACTGTCTCTGAAGACCAAAAAAAAAAAAAAAAACCCCAACCAAAAAAGGTTCATCTAAGGACATGCAAGTGTTTTTTGCATTTCTTAGGCACATGACCTGTATGATTGGCATGTGATGGGCAGTCTGGGGAACAAAGGTAATGGAATTTACATGAATTCCATTGTGTAATTGCCCATTGAATCCATTGGCAGCTGTTGAGGATAATTCTTAGCAATCAATCCATCTTTCATAAATTTGTCTAATGCTTTTTAACCATCTAACTAATAACCATTGCCAGTTTTTGTGAAAGGAAATCAACACATTCTGCACTCTTCAAGGAAGATGCTTTTGCCCCTTTGGCCTGAAGCTATGAGCGAACACTGCAGATATGCTGTATATCTGTGAAGATTCTCAGTCATCCAGGTGAGGTTACCTGGAAGTTGAGTCATGGCAACTGGATTTATTTCTTGTTAGGTTGAAACATTTCACTATTCATCCAAGTAGCTTCTTCAGTCTGAAGAAGCTACTTGGATGAGTAGTGAAATGTTTCAACCATCCAGTTGCCATGACTCAACTTCCAGATCAGAGATGCTGGTTTCTGGCAAGGGTCTGGCTATGTTCCTACATGCATTTTAGGTACAGCCTTTTCCAACCTATTATGGGGGTTGTAGTCCAGTTCATGTGTAGGTCCCTAGGTTGGGGAATACTGTGTGTGCTAGGGAACTGTAATATAAGAAGTGTCTCTGAATTCTGTAATCTTAAACGTTGGGCAGTTTCTCTTCCTGGTTTTTTGCTAGCTGACTTGCAAATACTGGAAAAATAATCTTATTAAGCATTACAGAACTAAACATGTTCTTCACCTTGACATTCATTTTGTGTGTAAAATATTACAGCATTGTACCAAACCAATATAAATTAAAGAACAGATGATTCTCTCTCTCTCAGGTGTCAGTGAGTGAAAATGGGAATGTGATGAAGGATTCTAATGTGGTTCTGGAGATTCCTTCTCCCACAGCTATTGCTTATGGTGTAATTGAACTGTATATAAAGCATGATGGTCAATTTGGTAAGTAATATGCACCTGTTTTTTCACTCTCCTCTTGAGCAGCATTACAAAGGCTGCTACTAATGAGCAATGCCTTTCTATTGGGATAAGGTTATAATACAGTCCATCGATTTGTTCACTATCTGGTAATTTCTTAATTAAGTTATGGGGATGGGAAATAAAAGGGTATTTCAAGTGTTTATTGCTATTTAAAGCTGCCAGTTTGCCATATTTAAAAAGCCATTTCTGTGTGTAATGGTGACTGCTAATTCTCTCTTCCTTCCTTCCTTGGTATCTGCATGTGTATAAATACATGGGTGTGCACTCACATTGCTTGTGTGTTACAAAATCATCTCTGTGTTATTATAAATGCATCTGCCAGAGTCAGTCTAACTCTTTTACTAATCCATTCAGTGGCTATAATAATCCCCTTTTGTTTGTACACCATCAGCTTTCATGATGATGTTTCTAGGAATCATCTTTTAAGAAGTTTCCTTTCCACTAAACCTCTAAAATGCTTTTTAAAAAACTGGCCTATAAACTGTGTTATTTAAAACAACAAATATTTAGCAACTTGGAAGTTTAACAGAAAATCCCTACTACCATTCTTTTTTTTTCTCCATTTAGGTTCCATAGCACTATATGACTCCCTTTTCTAAACACTGAACCTGTTCAAACTCCAGAGAATAAGTATGTGGACTCAGTGAGTGAAAACAGATTTTGAATTAGAAATTTGCACACAAGTAGCAAAAAAAGCAGTCTCGGTGCTTAGAAAAGCTATGCAGTCTCAGAATCCTCTAGGCAGTATGTGGTAAAAAAAAAAAATGTTTTCAAGGCCTGCTCTGTTTGCAGTAAGCACATTGCTATGTGCATCCATCTGTGAAGGTTCCCTAACTTGACTTGCAAAGATAAAGGAATAATTGTGACTGAGAGGGAGTGGATGTTGCTTTTTTGCAGCCTCCCACACCTAACAAGCTGGTTTTACACTGTTTATCTGTGCATACATAGGAATTGGCTGTAGAAGGATATGATGCCTGGTTCGCCTTTGGCTGCCAGCAATCCAGTATGCAGTGCATTGTTTACAAATAAAATGATTTTCTTTTCTGCTTGCCCACTATCCTCAGCAACTCAGCAGTATCAGATTGGTTTGCCTGGAATTCATTTGAAGGAAAGGAATACAGAAGTGCAGGGTCAATAATGCAAAATGTTATACTGTACACCCAAGCCAGGTGTTATGTATGAGAAGGTGGCAAACAGGGGTGAGCTAAACACAAAGCTTTAAAATGTTCTGATTGGCTGCAAGTTGCAGTTGTGTGGCATACACATAGCAAGCAAACTTGCCTTGCCTGGTGAACATTTACAGCTGATGTATAGGTAGACAACAGGTACTGTTGTTGACCGTTGCCAAGACAGCATGTATTGCTTTTCATTGATTTGGGGTTTTTTTTAAAGCATATAATTTGATAATATTGAGTGCGTTTAAAGAGAGAGTAAATTTAAAAATACATGTTTGTACTCACTGTTGCTATTTGAATACCTAGTTTGAGCTAGGTTACAAGTGCAACATTCCTGAGTTCATTGCCATCTGCCCTCTTTTGCTGATTCTAGTTTCTGTTCTACCCCGTTCAACATTCTATCTTATCTCTCAAAAGTCATAAAATATATATGCTTTCTTATCTCAATTTGTCCTTCCTTGTTACTATTATAAGGGTGGCCATGCTGACAAGGAACTGGTAAGGTTTGTTACAGAAACTGATGATGTTTGTTGCTGTTTCCATTGTCCAGGGAGATCTTGCTGTTGTCCGACCCAATGGGAGTAGAGCCCCTGAATCAATGGGATTTATGTAACTATTGGCTTAACAAGTCCCATTCAATCACTGCATCTGCTCTGGATGAGATTGCCAATTGGATTTAGCACCTAAACAAAGTTTGGTAACATAAGGTCCCAGAATCCCCCAGCAAGCAAATCCACAGAGGGATTTGGGGACCTGTAATCCCCAAAAATGACTTTTCAAAGTTCTGTCATTGACTTGAAATGTCTTTGTTTTTGCTTAGTACCAAAAAAACCTGGTGTTTAAAATAACTGTCCTCAAACTCTTCTAAAAGTGTTGTTGATGTGCAGTTAGGTTTTATGATAACAAGTCACATAGGATTATCACATCAAGTTTTCCCTTATTCAGCTGTTTTTCCTCCTGGTGAATTAAAATGAGAGGAAGAACATCTGAGCATTGGATAAATGCTGTCTTTATCATAGTGCCTATTCTCCTCGATACTGCTTTAATTCTGGAATGCTTCTATTCACTATCCTGAATTTCCCAGTAATTTGCCTCTTACCAGTCCATCTGTAAGAAATCCTCCCAATAATCATAATGTGGATTGAAATTACCTCTGGTGCTCAGCTGCAGTTGCCCTCTCACATCTGCCACATTTTGCATTCACCATGTGTTTATAATTTCTTGGTAGCTCATGTTCAGTGCAAGAACGTTTGTGCTTGGCAAGTGCTTTGCTTAATCAGTTTCGTATATGCTTTTTGAGTATATCCCTTGGTTTGTACAGGGCACATCATTCCCTCAGTGCTTTATTGTAAATCATTTTTATATTTTTGAATGGAAAACAGTATTGAAATGTCTTAAATAGAATAAATGGGGGAAATAGCACTTTGAAAACCATAGACTCTTAAATTTCCATAAGCTATATACTGAGCTATAGATTAACCCTGATGTTGGGAAAGTGTGAAGGCAGGAGGAGAAGGGGACGACAGAGGACGAGATGGATGGACAGTGTCATCAAAGCTACCAACATGAATTTGACCCAACTCTGGGAGACAGTGGAAGACAGGAGGGCCTGGTGTGCTCTGGTCCATTGGGTCACAAAGAGTTGGACATGACTTAATGACTAAACAACAACAACAATATATTAACCTTGGAATACCCAGTGTGGTATAGAGTGATGAACTAGGAGGCCTGGGTTCAGATCCCTTCTCATCCATGGAAGTTTCCAGGGGATGTGATACTGATAAAGCCACTCCTGGTGACATGTAAGTTGCCACCTTAAAATGATAGTACAGTTGGGGCAGCTAAGTTTAACATAGACACATTTTCTAACGCTTTATGTGTTATGTATTGTTTCTGTTTGCTTATTCTTTGGGGAAACATGGTGAGTTTCTGGGATTATGAAATGCAAGATTAGTCTGCATGTTTAAAAAAAATCATAAATGAATTATCATCATTATCATCATGCACCTGGCTTCTTTGGGTGTAGCAGTCTGCCAGTAATTTTGAATGGGTACTAGCTATGGCTTAAATTTCCCTGGTGGCAGTGAAGAAGCATTAGCCAGTATCCCGTTGAGAGCTGGCAGATGATATTCTGCTGTCTGCAGCATGCTGCTATGGAATCTGGAGATTGCCTTCATTGTTTTCAATGGGATTTATGCATAATGAGGTAGTAAATACTTCTTGCCTCACTGCAGCAAAAGGGTTGTATTTATGGGACAGGGCAATAGGATTGTAGCTTTGGGATTGGGGTGCCATTCTATAACTGGATAGCGAAACAATTAGAAAGTTATAGCTGTAGTCCTTTCTCACATCAGTGGATTTTGTCATTCACAATATAGTAAATCCCCTCATAGCAATATAATGATGATGTGCCATCAAGTCAATTCCGGCTTATGGTGACTGTTTCTAGGGTTTTCCAGGTACAGAATAGGGTACTCAAGTGGCGTACTATTGTCTTTTTTTCTGGGTGTGTCTTGGGACTGTGTAGTTTGCCCAGTGCTATCCAGGTTGGGCTTCTTCCTGGGAGGCACAGTGTGGAATCAAACTCCCAGCCTCTAGCTTTGCACCCAGATATCTAACTCACAAAGTTATCCAGGCAGCTATCATAGTAATGTTTGCCAGATAGAAAATATATAAATTACTAGTTAGCTTCAGTTCTCTCTGTTATGGTTGTGTAGATTTTGGCAAAAAAAAAAGTATGTGGGCATCTTTATGTTTATCTATTCATATTTCATATTTCCAATCAGCTGATGTTTAAGTCGGCATATATATTTTAAAAAGAAATATACACTGGGCAGCCATTTATATGGAACAGAACATAAGATCTTATTTTTTTCTATTTTAAAGTGTAAATGTATCGAGTGACCTTTTAAAAAAAAGGATTAACAGATAATCGTGTCAGCTCAGTTCTTCATTTCATCCTTTGTGGATAATTTAAGTGGAACTATTCTCATTGACAGAATTCTGCTTGCTTCATGAACAACAAGGTGGGTTTGAAAGAGAGAGCACAGAAGGACCATCATACCAACCTTCAATTTTCAGAGATGCTCTCTTCCCACATCTTTTGGATGCCGTGGATAATGAGAAGCAGTCCAGTCCAGAAAGCCCTATTCCCAGTGGTGCTTCACTGAGTGTTCTTAGAAGAGGTAGGTGTGCAGAACTGATCCCTGCATAATAGGTGTGGGGAGATTTTAATATTTCCTGAGCAACAAGCTTTCTAACTCTGAAAGGTACAGTGGAAGGCCATCTTCTGCCTCTTCCCCTGGCTGCCTGGAAGAGTGCCCTTTTAAAAATACACACTCAAGCATGTGCACACATATTTTACTATGACTATCTTCTGCATTTTGAAAAAGTGGACAGAACTGGTGTGCAGTACAATTATATTGATCTCCCAAAACCGCCATGCTTGTCCCAATTGCTGCAGTACAGAAGTGCTTCTTTTCCCCCTGTTCAGATTGCTCTTATCCCTTAGGTACTCTGGCAGGATTATCTCTTCTTGCTTCCCTTTGCAACAAGGTTAGGCTTGTGCTAATGGCAGTTAGGGAAGCAGGTTGATGGGGTCGTTCAACTGTTTTGAGCATTTTGTTCCTACAAGACCACCATCTAGAGAATCTTTTGTTTCCATTTAATAGTGTTTATATGTATGTGAAAGAAAGAGGGAGAGGGAGGGAGACTCTAGTGAGCTCCACAGGTTTTCTGGAAAATTCTTACATTATTTTTGGTCACCCTATTTCAGTCTACCTCCGACTGGCAGATGAACCAAATGGGACTTCTATCCACCAAAATTTATATTTATAGTTTTCAATTCCCTAGTTTTTCAGTTATTTTCTTTGTCAGTTTGTGTTGCTATTAGGGTCCTAAAACTTGAAGAAGGTGCTTCAGTATATTTCTCTCACCTCCCATTTTATCCTCTTTGTTTTTGTGTCTCAGGGTACTGTGGGGTGGGAGGTAAAAGTGGGGAAAAATCTGTGAAATTACCTAATGGAAAAACTCTGCTGCTTTTAAAATGTGTCATTTTGTTCTTCTGGAAAGGTACATTGTCCTTTGCCATGATCTTAATTGTGAACTATTTCAGTTATAGTATGTCCCTGGCAAATTGCTCCAAATTAATAATGTTTCAGGATGCATGCATGGAATAGATCTTCTTGAGAGCATTTGCTACACAGCATGAACACATTTTCTTAATTAAATTCCTCAGCAGAGGCTTATTTAGCATCCTGACCCTTAGATTCTGTTCCTTTCTTTTTCTGAGTGAATGCCACCATATTCCGAGAAACTGTGGAGAGCAATTGACATGCAAGCTGTGGGTGCAGGTCAAATGGGGAGACTATATATCTTAGGGTGGTGAAAAGTGGGTGCTGTGTCTTGTGACAAGAGAAGATAACTGTTGGAAAACATGGATGTTCTGAGGAGAGAAAGAGTAGAGCAAAGCTTTGTTTACCTTTTCCTAGCCTAAAATCTTTTGCTGGCTGCTTTTTTTATATATACCTTACAGCCAAAGTCTTTGACAAAGTAGAATTTCTCTGGATGTTGAGTCATGGGAACTGGATTTCTTTCTTGTTAGGTTGAAAAGTTTCACTACCTACCCAAGCAGCTTCTTCAGTCTGAGGAGAGTTGGTAGGAGATCCCTGATATAGCCTCCACATTGGTTTCACTTCCCCCTGCTCTGAATAGGCTCCTTAGAAGGACGAAGGACTGGAGGTGAGGGATAACCCCACTTCTGCAGTCCTTTTCCACCCATTGTCATTAATGGTCATTAACAGTGGTCTTTCTGGTGTGGTCCTCATCTTTCTGGGGAGGGATTAAAGTGCAGCATGATAAATGGGATACAGATTGTATCTAAGGCCTCCCCCCCTGTTGAGTGAGGGATTTTCTGTCTGCTCATGTATGGCTTCCCTGACCCCTCTCTGAAACAACCTTTAGGCCCATTCCAAAATGAGTACATCTTGGTCATCAAATGAATGTCCTTTGTCCTTCAAATGAAGGAACACTGCTAATTGTGGTCCTGAGCCATTGCCCCTCCTGAACTGGGCCATTCTCCTGTTTAGTGGCTGTTTGGTTTCTCCAATGTAGAGGTCCAAACACTCCTCTTTGCATTGGACTGCATATACTATATTGCTCCTGTTATGTTTTGGTATCCAGTCTTTTGGGTGAATGAGTCTCTGCCATAGTGTGTTTGTGGGTTTGAAGTGCATGGGTAGCAAAAGCACCACTTAACTTCATCTACAAAGGTGACATTTACAGACAAACATGGTTCTGCCATGGGTTCTCAGGTGTTGCCCATTGTTGCCTACTTGTAGATAGAAGAAGTGGGGGGAAAGGCACTAAACACCTTCCAGGGGACGACTTCAACCAATTGGTTTAGAAATGTGAACAACACCTGGGTGAAGATCAGGATTCAGGAAGTACAGGCCTGCACAGACCACATAAATGCAGTGGAGCCAAATATTAAGTTCAGCAGGGAAGACACCAAAGACAACCTGCTGGCTTTCCTGGACTGTGCAGTCATCATAGGATTTAAGGGCAGCTTAGGAATAGAAATCTACAGAAAACCCATACACACTGATCAATACCTAGGATTTGACTCTCATCACCCATTGCAACACAAACTAGAAGTCATCAGGATGCTAAACCACAGAACATGAAACATCCCTGCCTCCACAGAAGCCAAGAAGAAGTAAGATCTGAAGACAGCCTCTGAGCCTGTGGATATCCAAAATGGGCCTTTAACAAGGCAATGCCCCAACCCAGCAGGACAATGGAACAGTCTGAGACCCAGAGCCGATGGCAGAACTTGGTCATTCCTTACAAGGCAGGTGTGTCTGAAGAGTTCTAAAGGATTTTTGCGTGTGCTTCAAACCCATAAGCACACTAAGGCAGAGACTTGTCCACGCTTTTTATGAAAAAGTTCCATGAGCCCTCCAAATATTTTCTTAGAATTAACAAATAATTTTCATTAGATGGGGAGTGAAATAAGATTACCAATTGTTATATTATTTTGGAAAAGGACTGTCATTATGTTCTAAAATCTAATTGTTATGCTAGTGTCATTGCAAGTAACCACAGTAATTCCAACGTCTAGTTCTCTGTTAATAATACATGCTTAATGTGTCCTTGTTGTCTTTGAAAGATATCATTCAATTAAAGACTCAGTTCCAGCCTTTTACAAACCTGTCAGAAGGAAAGCAAGGAGCTTTATACCAAATATTCTGTGAACTTCTGCTCCATGAAGAAATGTTAACTCAGTTGGAGGATGTGGTAATTTTCTTTCCTAGATACCTACATATATAAACACATATTCACTGTCTTTCTGCTTTTATTTTTAAAAAAGCTCTTTCGTTGGAAGGAGGACTGCTTTTCATTATGTTAAGGACTGGCATGTTTATAACCCATTACTGTCCCATTGACTCTGTGCTGGATTCAGACTTAATCCGGGAGCTTCATGGTGCAGTGGTGAAACTGTAGTACTGTAGCCTAAACACTCACAACCTGGGTTCAGTCCCAGGTAGCCAGCTTGAGTTTCACTGAGCTTGAGGTTCACTCAGTCCTCCAACCTTCCAAGTTTGGTAAATCAAGTACCCAGCTCAGTGGGGGAGGGGGCAATGTGTAGCTGCATAATTAAATTGTCAATTGCCTATAGAGTGCATTTAGCACTATGGGGTGGTATATAAACTTTAATCACAGGGTGCCCCCCCCAAATATTTAGGGGGGCAGCATCTCCATCATGTGCCATTTCGGAATTTGAAAGACATTGAAAAATGAAGGTTCCCCACTACCACATTTTTCTAAAAAATAATTTTAATTTGGGACCGTGATAGTGATAAACAACATTCCACCAGATCTAGGATAGATTGATTTAGTAATGTGGACCCATGACTTAACCTTATGAGGACAAGCTCCAGGAAGCAATGTGGTTGTGTGGTCACCATGTGCTTTCCTAACATATTTGCAAAGCGAGTTTGGAAGTTACTACTTCATTTTAAATGTTGCTACTATTTCTCATTCTGTTGAAATTAAATAAGCTTGTTAGTAGTACATGCATTAGTCATTACTCCCTTAAATCCAGTTAACACTGATGGCTGCTAAGATGAGTGTGGTTAAATCTGGTTCAAACATACTGTGTTCTTTCTTTTTTAGCTGGATCATATATGTTCTGAAGATAATCCAGAATCTTTAATCTCGAAGCAGCTGAAGCCTTTAGAGGAACAAAATATCAAGCAGTTCATAGAGCTTCTGGGAATACATTTACAGAACAAACAGCCAACGCAGAAAGATCCAACACTCTGTAATAAAGAGCTTCTCTTAGCTGCTCACATCCTTCTCAGTGCTGTGGCAGGTACAGAATAGAAAGTAGCAGCTTTTGTGTTAAGATCCTCTTTTGCACACAACTTGTTTGGCTCTTTTAGGTTGGTTGAAAAAAGGGAGCAGAAACAGAGTATGTCATTTACACAGTCCTTGGCTGAATAGGCTGTTGAGCAATTTGCGAATCTGGTTAAGACTTCAGTGAAAGCACAAGGCTGCTGCAGTTTAAGCACACAAAACTGGGCATTGTGTTGAAAGGCGTCCAACCCCAACCAGTACTGAACACTGGCTTTTAATTCAGGTTTACAAAGTGATTGCTATTCTCATTGTATAGTAAGTGTCTTCACTGCTGTTAGCAGGAAGATGAGAGTAAGACTCAAGTTTTCAGGTGATGCTGCCAATATAACTTACAGTGTTTGCAATGCAAATATTATCTTAAATGTGACATACCACTGAATTTAGAGGGTCACTGAACCACTAGAAGAAAAGGATGTTGATAAAAAATGTAAAAAAGTAAGTGCTACCATCTTGTGAAGTGCGCCCCCAGTTGTTAACTGAAAGCTTCTCAGACATCCAGATTATTCTTGTTGTGAGAAGAATGCCAGTTCTTAGTGGGCAACATGAAATATTGTTCTGCATCTTCCTACCTAAATAACACCTACACTCCCTGATCCACAGCAGCTTTATGAGTTGTTTACACTTTCTCTGTGTGTTTTGTACCCAAGTAATATCTACCTCATCACTTCTTCCTTCCTGCCAGAACATAACTCCCATTTCATTAATGGAATAACAACCTGTTTGGATGTCTTGATAAAGTCAAATTCCAAATTATGGGACATATACAAGCACGTGGGTGCCACATGATTACTCAGAGTCCCTTTTCAGACCTTTGCACTCAAGATGCAAAATCTATTATTATATACTGCAGCATTTATTCATCACTGTGTGTTAAGTCATATAACTTGCAGATAACAAGGTATGCAAGCAGCAACTACTTAACTAGTAGGAAATTGCTGATGTGATTCATTACATTATTGCATTTATGTAATTCTACACAAGGAATAGGTTTCTGGCCAAATAGGTTCATGCTTTAACTTTTCTTTTCCTGAGCCTTCATCTCTCTGTTAACTCACTGTTTTCATGAACATAATCCATTTTATTAGATTTGCACTTTACTTTGGAAATACAAATTTATGTTCTCACTTTTCTTTTCTTTCCTTGCCTTGGCTTCATGTATTATGTTCTCAAGTCATATTTCTTTTCCTTGTGCAACACAATGAAAATACCATCAATTGCCTCTGACCCTCAGTTAGAATTCAAGCTCATCTAATAATTTTTCCAACCTTAATTACTACATAGTCTCCTCTAAGACAAGCTATCCCAGATATCAGAATCTTCCTTTTTTTAGAAAGAACCATCAGGCAAACCATTCTCCACCTAAACCATTTGTTATCTCCTTGAACTTTTGATAAAGCCATAGGAGTTTCCAATGTTAATTACTAGGAAGTGGTTTTTAAATGTCATTTTGTTTTCTCCCATGTATATGGTTGTTTGATACTTGCAGTGGCAGTTTTTTGAGAACAAGACAGAGTTATACGGTTCACTGAGGCAGAAGCTGCTACCATCTGTTAAAGTACCAACCTCTACCTTCTTAGGAGTTCCCTTTTCTCTGGGTGTCTTCTCAAGCTACTAGGGATTGATTTTTTCCCCCAATGGCTTTCCAAGAGTCCTTAGCCCCAGTTCTACATTGTATGATCTTATTTTAAGTAAAATTGATCATCTCTGTGCTTCTAAAACATTTTTGCCTCTTGCTTCCTTTCCACAGAACTCTCCGATTACGCTCTTGTCCTGCTGCGTGCCTGCTGTGATCTCCATGTCATTCCTGCTCTGTGTTGCTTGGTAAGTCCTCTGTGTATAAGTGTTGGTTGATTGATTGCACTTGTATGCTGGCCATCTAGTGGCATGTCACTACCCTCGGAGGTATACAACAATTAAAACTCATTCACCCATCATGTAAAAAAACAAACGAAATAACAATAAGAAAACAACAACAACTTAGAGGCGATAGCAGCAAGAAAATTCTAACGTAATAGATCATAGGGGGAGGAAGTTCTTAAAGGCCTCCTTAGAAAACATTGTTTTAATCTGTTTCCTGAAGGACAAGAAGGAGGATGCCTGGCTTACATCCACAGGCAGCACATTCCACAGCATTGTAGTCACCACCAAAAAGGCCCAGTTTCTGGTGGTTGTTTTCTGGGCCTCCTTTGGGGTGGCCATCCACAACAATCTTAAGGAGAAACACTGACAGTTAACAAGGTCCCAAACTATTAAGAACCTTATACAGTATGTTAATATTGATACTTTGAATTTGGCATGGAAGCAGATAGGAAGCCAATGCAGCCATACCAGGATGTGATCATATTTCAAAACTCCCAAATCCACCTATCTACCATATTTTGCACATGGTGTAACTTTGCTATATCCTTCAAAGGCAACCCTACACAGAGAGCATTGCAGCAATTGATCCTTGAGATTAGTAGTGCATGAATCAGAGTCGTCAAGGATTTCCTGTCCAGATAGGGCCACAACTGTGCAATCTGCTGAAGATTTAAAAAGGCAGACCTGGCCATGGCAGAAATTTGCTTCTCCGTAGAGAGAGCTGAGTCTAGAAGCACACCGAACTTGTGAAAATGGTCCTTTATGGGGAATGTAACCCCACCCAGACCATTTAGAATATGGGCAAAACACCCTGTTTCACAAATGTGTATGTTGTAAGTGCCTTCCTTGGTAGAAAATCTGAGTATATACTGAATTTTAAAAAATAAGAATTTGTATCCTGCCTGTTGCATATCAATAAGTCTTCCATCACATTTCAAATAACTGAAATATAACGAATTTTAGAGCTTACATTAATTGTAACTGCAATTACTGAGATTCCTTCCAAATGCTGTAGGAATTCCACAAAAAACAAACAAACAAAAACCCCAGATACATCACTGAAAAAGAGGCCATTTAGAGTATTTGATAGCATGACTGGTCAACAGAAGTGCTACTTAACATTCCGACATTGGAAGCACTGTATTTTTCAAAGCCCTGCAGACATGAGCCAGCATGGCAGAAGTGAGGCATTTATTTTTTTCCACTTTCACATTGGTTTTCTTTCGCTTTTGTGTCTCTCCTCTTGAAAGCAACATGAGGGAAGGGATGTCAGTTCTAAAACATCAGTACATCCTTACATTGCAATGAAGAACTGAGACAGACCGCATTCTACAAATTCACACTTCCCAGATCTCGCCTACTTCCACCAAGTTCTACCCATGTGAGGCATTTATTTTTTTCCACTTTCACATTGGTTTTCTTTCGCTTTTGTGTGTCTCCTCTTGAAAGCAACATGAGGGAAGGAATGTCAGTTCTAAAACTTCAGTATTTCCTTGCTAACATCCTTACATTGCAATGAAGAACTGAGACAGACTGCATTCTACAAATTCAGACTTCCCAGATCTCTCCCTTTTTCCCTGTCTCAACATTAGAGCTCCATTGGGAAGGGGTGACAGTGTTTCCATAGGGGCTGGGAGGGGAATTCAAGGGCAGACCAGTCTGACCTTCAGGATTGAGATCAAGGGACCAGTCTTGCAGCCTTAATATTTGTATTTATTTCATGTACCTCCCACTCTTCACTCAAGAGATCAGGGCAAGACTGAGATACATTTTATCTTTACCATTTAGATCTATTTTGTCCGCACAGCCCTATGATGTACAAGTACTGTATATTCAGGGTGGCACCACTAGACCACTCCTCTCTAAACACAAGTGAACTCATCAGTTTATGTTAAATCTAAGCAGGGTAGGGCCTGGTTAATACTTGAAAACTGTCAGGAATTCTAGGCTCCTCTAAGTAAGACTAGAAAGACTCCTGCCTCAAGAGGCAGTATAATCCAGAATGGATAATATTGGGGCTAGATGGACCAACGGTCTGACTCAGTTGTTGTTTTGACTTGTATACCACTCCACAATGCTAGAGCACTCTCTGGATGATTTGCAATGTGACGTGTACAAGGAACACTTCCCCCACCCAAGTGAGCTGGATACTCCTTTTACCAACCTCAGGATGGAAGGCCAAGTCAACCTTGAGCTGGCTACCTGAATCTGTCACAATCAAACTCAGGTTGTGAGCAGAGGTCTGATTGCAGTGCTACAGTTTAACCATTGTGCCATGGGGCTCGTGAGCTGGCTACCTGAATCTGTCACAGTCAAACTCAGGCTGTGAGCATAGGTCTGATTGCAGTGCTAGTTTAACCATTGTGCCATGGGGCTCACTTACAGTTCAGGCTGTTCCTTATGTGCATAGATTTAGGTTCACAGACTGTGAATAACATCATTCCATTGAGTTGAGTGTTGTTTGAAATGCAGGTCTTTCCAAAGTAGTTCTACATACTTCATCAGAGTGGCTGTCTTATGTTTATCCTAAGGAGGTTCCTTTGAAAGTGAACCTGCAGTGCTATAACAATGCATGTAACCTTTGTTCCTGTCTCTGAACAGCCTGATCTGACTTCAAGGGATGGTTCACTGACACTGGGAAATCCAGCACTGGCTCCACTTGCTGACAAAGGAAAGTTTTGGCTAGCACAAAGACTGTTTGCTTTATCAAATATCAACCTTGAAATGACAGAGTCTTCCATAAGAGTTGTAACTACGAAGAAACCCAGATTTTTCCCATTTATTCTCTATATAGCATTGTATGGACTTTACACTTTAGGATCTAATGCAGCTGATGCTTGAGGTAAGTGGCATGGCTGGTTTAATAGCAAAATGACTGTATTATTTAATAGCCTTCTTTATAAAAGAGCTGATTCTGGCTGAGATGAATCCACAATATCAGTATTATGGAAATAGGGCATTTATGTTTTATAAATGACATAGGACATGTTACCTCATTTTATACACTCAGACATTACTAGGCTCCACAGTCCAAAACATTTATGCGCTTTGTTTTTTTTATTATGTATGTTATCCAAAATGTCATGGTGGAAAGAATAAGAACTGAGTTCTCTCTTTCCATCTCCCTTTGTTTTGGGGAAAAGGCTGTGGTTGAGCCCATGGTTTGTATGTAAAATACCTTATTGTGGTGAATTACAGGTGTCACTAGATAGGGTGGGAAGGCCTCTAGCCTCAACCCGTAAGACAGCTAAACCTTTAATGATGTCAAAACTATAACCTTTTCAAATACTGATCTGCAATAAACTAAGCAATATTCAGAAAATGTTTAATTATAAGAATGTGTACTCAAGCTGATTGTGGTATTCAGCAAGTTACATTCACCCTATGCAACCTAAATATTCAGGAACGCTTCTCCAAGGGGATTCAGACAGTAGGTAGGACAGCGTGCAAATAAGAGGCAACACCACATTTTCCATTATTAAATTTTCATTTCATATATACAAAAATACTTTATTAGGAGTTAACAGGATTTCACAGCTTTATACATTTCAACAGTTATACAGAATGACAAATGACTTGAGCAAGAAAACATTAAGGGAGATCTGTTTTTAAGTAGTTAGAACTGCAGTTTAGCCACATAACTCTTAATGGTACTAATATTAAGGTTACACAGCCATTTTCTCATGGTCCTTCAGTACAGTATTCTAAACTGACCACTGTAGCTGACAATTCTATTACAGAAGGGGACATCTTAGATTTCCCAAAAGTCCAGTTCAGTTTTTCATCATATGGTGCACAAATAGTTTATGTTCAAATCTGTGCACACAGAGAAAGGAAACAAGTGCTTAATAAAACTAAAAAGTTAAAACAAACAAAATTTTGTGTGATATAACCAACACAATTCAAGACTGGCATTTCTAAATAATGGGTTTTTGGCCAATATTAGAATTATGAAATACAAGAACATGTAGACAGAAAAGTGTAGTATTTGAAGTAATGACCCTGTTAAAATTTATTCAAGGATGTTAATAGCATCCAGGATACATTAATTTGAACAGAGATGCTATTACATGTTTTTCCCCCCTGGTCAAGTGGGCTGCTATTCAATAGTAGCTGAAATTCTATGATGCAACGTCTTGTGCATAATTGAGATATCATAAACAGTGGCAAATTATTGCTGTTAAAGGCCATTTCAGATTGCACACAACTTGTTTACAATGTAATATATGCCCCTCCAAAGTCCCCAGAAGCCTTTAAGCACAGCTTATTCATCACCATTGTGCATACAGAGCTGTGAAACAGGATTTCACCAGCATAATGGATTTTTTTGTGTGTGCCTTAGTAAGACATTTATGTTGTCCTTAAACTGGAATAAAAAAGCAGAAACATTAATTTCTGGAAGACTAATAGTTTTCTGCCATAACGCTGCAAAATCCAACAACTATAATTTACTTCTGATTAATGGAAGAGATCCACACTTAGCTGCAAGAGCCTTCACTGGTTTACTACAGAGGCTGAAATCCTGTTGCTTAGGTACATGTGCATAACGCAAAGATATCCATGAAGCCCTTCTGCAGGCTTTGCTGTGAAGTGTGTGACTGATTGCACAATAAAACAGTGCAATGGTGCATGTCTGAGCATAATGCCTAACATTTCTGCAGGCATACTTTATATTACATCAGCTTGAACAGGATTTCAGCCGTCCCTTTATATTAAATTTACATAATAGTCTTCCAAATAGACCCATATGAGACAAGGCCATTTAAACAACAAATGCTAAATTAATCTAAATCCTGTTAAGAGTATCAAATAGCAAAATGTATAAGGAAATTCTCTGCAGGAGTCAGGAGATGTCTTGTAACCAGACAATAGCTTACTGTTCTTTCATCATAGGTGTTAGTTTTTAGAATGAATTTCCTTTGGTGGATAAAAGGAGGTTGTCTCACACAAACATTAACATTTTAAGTTCTACAACAGCTACAGTTATATAAGAAACACAATTTTTAATCAGTCAGCTGTTGACAAGGAACAAAAGCAGACATTTAAACAAAAATACTGAGATTAAGTCTCTCTCCCCTGCCTCCTTTGGATGGAGGTTCTGGAAGAATGTAAGGCGAACATGGATAACTTGTAACTTTCCATAAGATGCTACACTGCAGTTCTCTTCATACCACTGGCTATGCTGCCTAGGACTGATGGAAGTTTTGATCAAAAAAGTTCTGTAGGACCACACATTGCCTGCTCTTAAAATATGGTCTAAGTGCTCTCTAGATCACAGTAGATGTAGCTCAAACACAGAAGTGGAAAAATGTACCTCTGAGTGCTCCGTCTCCAAAATCAGTTTTTAGAAAAGTTTTTGCCCCACCCCCATACTCTTGTGCTCTCTAAGGGGTGAGAGAGTCAATTCTGCCATGCTGGGGTGGGTGGGGACAGAACTCATCCCTAGAGTTTTAATTAAAAAAAAGACTTTTACTACTAGAGGGTGCAAGAGTTTTTTCAATGAAATAATCCACTACTGTTAGAAAAATTTGAGGAGTCCAGCCCTCCAAGGTCCAGAGAGGGGGGGGCGTAGTCCCTGGACCTTTGAAACCTGTTTGTCCTCCTCTTGTATCTAGTTCCATCACTACCAGAGTACAAAAATGTGTACTAAAGTTGCCACCCAATTTTATGTATATCAATACCAGCTGAAAAACTGAACAAGACTGTTTGCTTTCTTTTTCCTTATAACAGCCTTCACCAGAGCCCTTGAAAGCAGCTTTTCCTAGTCTTTCAAAATAAGGGATGGTCTTCAGTAATTCTACACAAAAATCCAAGTTAACAGATTTTGCATAATGTATTCTTCTGTTAGCAATTGTAAGTGGAATCAGTACAGCAGTGAAATCATCAGCCCTGGAGATACTACAAAATCCCTGTACTATACTCACAACTGGAGATGCCTCTGAGTGGGTGCCTGCTGGATGGGCCAAGCGCTGAACTACAGATCAGTTGTTCAGCTGGGAAACAAACTGTGCTGAACTGCCAAACCAGTAGTACATGCCCATCACTACTCACAACCTAAAAGTTTCTGTGTTGCCTAATAGGTAGAACATTTGAAACATGGTTCTCAAAAAGCAGAAGTCTGGATCATGAAACCATGATTGTTTCATTTTAAGTGTTTTTTTCTATGATTATTAATTTTTAAAAAATCTTATTACAGATGTAACGCACAAGGTAAACAGCATCTCACAACAGAATTATTTTGAAACAAAGTTATTTAAGCTTTTAGTATGCAGTATTTAGAACCCAGTGTGTTAACTAAAGAAATGCAAGAGTTGCTAAGGCATAACTATTTGTGATCAGAAACAAAAAGGGGAGGTGACTGCTGTCCACCATCCCAGCCCCATTTTCCATGCCTATGTCCAGCTCTATCTGTGACTATTTCACCCTTGCCTCATACCTTATTTTGTGACAACTAGGTGTGTTCTGTTCATAAATGGATTCAGCTTGTAAAATATTTACAAATTTAGAAAATAACAATGACTATTTAAACACAATAGCAGCCCTATTCTTTGAAAAATGAAGTAAACGGATTTGGACAAATAAAGATGTTTTAAAACTTGTGTTCTGAGTAGACCTCAATCATTTGCATTCATATATTCTATAATCCTCAACATTTTGGATTTTCTGAACTAATACCTCAGGAAAAATAGCAGGCAACACTGAAAATACAGAACTCAACTTTATGCACATTTATTAAACTGTACATCACTCAATGAACTGCATAGTACCCACAGAATTCAAGATAATGGCTAAAATCCTGTTGCTTAGTGTAATAAGCTGCACAAGAGTAGGCCCACGAAATCAATGGGGATGTGGTGAGTCAACTATACATTTCATTAATTCAGATGGGCCTACTCTGATTGTAGATTACTACACTTCCTACACTAAAGGAAGTCACAACTAGAGTAGGCCTATTTGAATAAATGGAACTTACAGGGGTTAACTCACCAAAGCCCCACTGATTAATGCGCCTACTATATTGCATCTTATTACACTAAGCAACAGTTTCAGCTAGCATGTTATGAGTTCAGCCAATAAAATAACTAGAATGTACAAATTCACTGATCTGTAACTGATTTTACAAAATTACCTACCATGCTATGAGCACATCTGCCTTTGCTTGAGGATATAAAGATAGCAATAGTTTTAATGGTTTTCTACTCTGAATTATTCTACTTTACTAAACATCCACAATATTTACCAATATTTCTGATTTCTGCTCCTCTGCGCACACTGCATTTTGCAGAAGCAGTGACAAAACCCAATGTTTACTTTTATTGTTATGTAGGCATACACAAATAGTTGTGTATTTCACTACACAAATATTTAGGCTGACACAAAAATAACCACAAGCAGTTCCACATGTTGCCTTTTAAATTAAATAATTAATATTTAAGTACCTTTATTTTCTTGTCTATACTTGGTATATCAGCATCCCATCCCATGTGACTTCTCCATACTGGAAAACACACTTGAAGTATCCCTATTCTTCTGACTTCCTTTATTAATGAAAAGGGGGGGGACTGTACTTAATATTATTTTGAACGCATGTGTAGTAGACCAGCTTCTTGTATAAGTTTCCAGTAAATTATGGGTTCATTATTGATAGGTGGCTGCCATGTGCAAAGTCAACCATATTGTCTATGCATCTCTCTAGGATATTTATCAGCCTTACCTGGCGATGCCAGAGGGTTGAACCTGGGATTTTTAGCATGCAAAGCATATGCTCCACTAGTTATTCCCCCTCCCTTAACGCATTCTTCATTGAATGTCTGATGATGGCACTGTCCTCGGTGGAAGGACCAGAATTTTGGGTGCTATCACCTCTTCCCCATCCTGTGCTACCAAGGGGAAGGGGGCAATTACATGGACTTTTGTATTCAGAGTTTCAAATTCTGCATACTCAGTAGCTGAAAATACATCTACAGCAAAACTGGTTCAGTGGCACTGTGGTATGAAAAGAAAGATCATATTTTGAGTTTTAATTTGGGAGGGGTTGACTCAACCTCCTTTGGCATTACAGTTCAAAAAATTAGATCTGCCACTTAGTGAAAGGCAAGGTTTAAAGTACATTTATACATGGCATGAACCTATTTCATATGAGATAATGGCAATTACACAAATGGTTTAAACACATGCATATATTTTAGTACCAAGGTTAAATTTAAAGAATTAAATGATAGTTTGGCTATTGCTGCTGCTAAAGACAACACTCAGTCAGTTTTTTCAAGATCAGAGTACATCAAAATACAGGATCCAGAGACACCACTAGACCTCTCTGGACATGCATACTAGCAGCAGCAAGTTAAGACAAACACTAGTGTCTCCTATTACTTCTGCTTTATTCTGCTGACAATGGCAATATTTTCTGTGCCTGCGGTTGCGGGTCTTCTCACCAAATTTCTGTCAATTATCTGCAGAATCCTCTCTGACCTAAAGTCTATGTGCCATTAACTCCTTCTGCTTTCTACACAAAGTGAACAAAGTTTAAGAGCTACAAGAAAAACAGGGCACCAAGAGATGAGCATAAGGAACAGATCAAGTAACTATTCAGTCATAGGGTTTTTCCTGACCCTCCTCAAGGTAGTTCAACTGGAAGCTGAGAAGAGAGCAGGTCCAGTCCAGATTACCTAGATTCCACTTAAGCTTCCTTCTCAAAAGGAGTAGCACCAAATCTACTGAAATGCTGCTCAGTAAAGCACTAGAAAACAAAAGCAATGGAGTTTTGTTGCAAACAACATTCCTACTAAAAATATCCTATACAAGTAGTCACAATTACATTGTACCTTGTCACCAAATCCTACAAGGGCAGCAGAGCACTTTTTAAAGTGTCATTCTGGGTACTGTCATAAAAATAACTTTCAGACTCAGCTGAACACCTCTGTCAAACACCTAAAATCAGCCTACCTATAGATGTAATGCAACAGAAGTTTGCAAGTTTCTCAAAAATATTTTATATTATTGAAAGCTAAAGTACCAAAGGCAATTAAGACAAAGATATCCAATAATATGCATAACATTTATAAAATATACTTAAGTGTTTAAAAAAAATACCTTAGAGGTTTTCAATCTATAATACCTTTTTTGGTGTCTCATCAGTTCTCTGTATAAAGTAAAAACTATCCAAACCCTGTTTTTTTGTGCACAGTCAAACATTTCCAAAAACAAAAGGGGCTAAGAAGTTGTTTGCATTATCTCAGCCTTTCCAAACAATTCTTTATTGGCATCTTGTGTTTAATACTTTGGTGTTGAAAACAAACTTTGAAGTCAAGTGCCTGTCAGCACATGGAAAAATGAATGAATTGGGCAGATGACTACCAACACAGGCACTAGCAAGTCAGTAACAACTGATGTGTAACAGCAAACGCAGTATAAATAGTCACTGGACTAATCTCTCTTAGTGACAATCTGCACCTATATTCATTTAACAGAATATTTATCAGAAAAAATGAGATGAACCTAAAACAAGAAAAGTTGTGAATGTTGTAAAATAGTCATGAAATAAACCCATTTATAAATAACACTGAATTTTAGCATTTGACAGTAACCTTAGTTTTACAAGCTATTTGGTGAATAAATGCAGTTTAACACAAGGTAACAGATAGCTCAAAAAGTCTCATCACATCACATTTCATAATACATAATTACTCATAAATATCTGCTGTAAAATAAAAGCCTATCACAGAACAATATAGAAATAGAGGGCATTATTAAAAAGTAGGTTCCGTTATTTTAAGCAATGATTTTTCACAAATAAGGACACACTTCCTACATGCTGAGCCTCACTGCAAGCCCGCTTTATGATTTCTCATGCTACTTCACCATGATCCCAAATACAATGAATTACATTATATAATTCTGCAAGAGAGTAATACTTATTCTCTAATGGGTTGAAATGTTGGCACATCAGCCTCCTTGGGAAATTTCAAGATATTGCTTTTAATTTCTGTAAAAGTGTAACACGTACAGGAAATCTACAACAAATCTGTCCAAGACATGACAACTGAAAAAGATATATAAACATTAAGCAAAGAAGTGTCAGTAACATGGCTCAGTGCTGGCTGCTTCTTAAGGGTTTAAAATTCTGCTCACATCAAGAATGAAATGTTTCTTAGGATAAGGATTAGTATTTTCTCCAAATAACAAAAACTGAACAGATGAAACATTTGATTTATACAGAGTTTTACAAAAAAAAAAATCAAAACCTTTTTTCAAGTATTTTTCTTATCACAGTGAAAATGTAAGACCAAATGTATAAGTGAATGACTGGAAAGTTCCTTAGACAAGTAAAGGCAAAGTAGTAAATCAAAACATTTATAAAAATGCTTCAACGCATTTCCTTCATGTGATATGAATAGAAAGGTTATCTGTAAAAAGTTAGAAAAATTAAAATAAATTACATATTTAAGTACACTTTCCCTTCAACATTTTGTATAAAATCTTGGAATAGCATACTATTGTCTGAATATACACAGAATAAAAATTATCAGATGCTGCTAAGTGTCTGGCACCTCTGTACAATCTTTGCCGAGCATAATGTTTGTTTCAGCTAGCCTAAGTTGGTGCTTAAACATATCTTCAAAAGAACTATCAGTACACCCAACTAATTGGGACCCACTGTGGTTCTGTTCTCAGTTTCTCTGTAGCAGTTTGCAGCTTTTCAAAGGCTTTGTCAAGATTGTCATTCACAATAGTCAGATCAAAATAGTGGCTGTAAGCTCTCTGGATCCGTGCACTCTCATCAACTGTTTTCTTCAAATCAGTGTCCTGTTAGAGATTACACAAAAGTAGATTTCCAGACATTAAATTGTGTTCAAAATCTGCCTCCCTGAGTTATACTCAGGCTGCTTCCCAACAAAATATGCTGAAGATTTCAGTTATAAATGTAACAAAAGAAGCCCCTGAGGAATGAATTACAGTAAGTTGTTCCTCCTTAGGTTAAATCTTCACACGCAAGTTTGGAAAACTCAACAGTAGCCAGAGGATTGGAAAAGATCAGTCTACATCCCAATCCCCAAAAAGGGCAGTGCTGAAGAATACTCCAACTACCGTACAATTGCACTCATTTCACACGCTAGCAAGGTTATGCTCAAAATCCTACAAGGTAGGCTTCAGCAGTATGTGGGCCAAGAACTCCCAGAAGTACAAGCTGGATTTTGAAGGGGCAGAGGAACTAGAGACCAAATTGCTGACATGCACTGGATTATGGAAAAAGCCAGAGAGTTCCAGAAAAACATCTACTTCTGTCTGCTTCATTGACTACGCAAAAGCCTTTGACTGTGTGGACCACAGCAAACTATGGCAAGTCCTTAAAGAAATGGGCATGCCTGACCACCTTGTCTATCTCCTGAGAAACCTATATGTGGGACAGGAAGCAACAGTTAGAACTGGATATGGAACAACTGATTGGTTCAAAATTGGGAAAGCAGTACAACAAGGCTGTATATTGTCTCCCTGCTTATTTAACTTATATGCAGAATACATCATGCGAAAGGCCGGACTGGATGAATCCCAAGCCGGAATTAAGATTGCCGGAAGAAATATCAACAACCTCTGATATGCAGATGATACCACTCTGATGGCAGAGAGTGAGGAGGACCTAAGGAACCTCTTAAGGAGGGTGAAAGAGAAGTGTGCAAAAAACGGTCTGAAGCTCAACATCAAAAAAAACCAAGATCATGACCACCGGTCCTATCAGCTCCTGGCAAAAATCTGTGTTCACTGTCTGAGGTCTTCCACTATCTATGTTTAGGCAGACAGTAATGGAAGGAGGGGACATTTTCAGTTAAGATGCTCCATTCGTGGAATATGTTCGCCAAAGATGCTCGCTGGGAAAGAACTTTTCAAGTCATTTCAGCATCTGGAACAGCCCATTTTATTTGCTCCACCATTTCTACATACAGTGGTGCCCCACTTGACGGTTACCTCGTTAGACAAGGAAACCACTTAACAATGTGTTTTTTGTGATCACTTTTGCGATCGCAAAACAATGATTAAACGGGAAAAATCCGCTTTACAATGATCGGTTCCCTGCTTCGGGACACCGGAAAATGGCCGCCCTATGGAGGATCTTCGCTGGACGCTGAGGTATTTCGCCCATTGGAACGCACTGAACCGGTTTTCAGTGCGTTTCAATGGGCTTTTTCATTTCGCTTGATGAGGATTTCGTTCTACAGCGATTTTTCTGGAACGGATTATCCTCGTCAAGCAAGGCACCACTGTATTAAATCAGTTATCCAGTTATGGTTTTATTTCTACTACTGAACTGTATAGGCTTCCCCCCCCCCCGTTCCATCTGCTACTTCCATTTTCTAATGTTTTGCATTAAGCCAGACCAACTGAAATTAGATATGATTAGCAATATACATTTATGTCAGTCCATTTGTCGTAAGAAAAACCAAATCTAGATATAATTTTTTGTGGTGGTATAATGAAATGTTTATAATTTATAGCTGGAACCAACCCAGTTTTCACTGTTTTATTTCATCCTACCTTAAGAGACTTTACCAAAGGACAATGTAGAAAATTGGAAAGAAAATGAAGAAAAGCCTAAGTGACAAATTGGTAAAAGAATGAGATTGTAAATTTCTGTCTCTTTACAAAAATAAGGCATCGGTCCAGCTTTTGTTTATCAGCATATATTTACTGAATATCATTTGAATCAAAATATTCAAATTATTTGCTGCAACAAGTATATCCACAATTTGAAAATCATGTGAAGGGGTAACAAAAGGATTCTTAATATCATTTGAAAGGGGGGGGGAAGCCTCCCCAAAACATACATTCAACAACATCTCAAGTGGTTAGAAAAAAGTATGCAACAGAAAAGGGAAGGAAAACAGATATAAAATTGACCATTAATATACAAGATACATATTTAAATACAAAAATTAGCACTGATGCAATCGGTAAAGTTTCTTATTTTCAAATGTAAGATTTTAATTACCGTTAGAAGTTTGGTTGTAATTCCTGCATCCACCACAGCTTTGTGCATGGCACGCAGTGTTTCTAGTTCTGGAGCAGCAATAAACACTACATATGGCATAAACTCTGATGTCCGCAATATTTTAAGCGCCTGAAATAACAGAGAATTAATTCCATCAACCAGCATTTTGAAATTAGGCAGACAGCAGTATTAGTTCCAAACAGCATGATAGATTAAAAAGCAGAAACTCTTGCACACTACATCACTGTGACACATGTACTTACCAATAACATAATAATTTTAAATTCAATATATTTGAAACAGATTGTTAAGTACTAAGAAATCTGTATTAAAAGATGTCAAAGTAGGCGGCTCCTGGAAGAGAATTTCAAGCCTCCCTAGATGTGAAATTTAAACACTGTCTTTATTACTACACAAAGTATTTTGTTGCTGGTTACTTATACTTTTATGTCCCCAAACACTGCCAAATTGCATCATGACTGTATGGTATAGAATGTTGGCTTTACTGCTTGATGCCCTTCTAATCAAAAGAGATTGACCAATCTACTTTTCACCAAGCTGTATGACTCAGCATGAAGTTCAAAGGGACAGCTACGGCTGCACCCTACCGTAATTCCTTTTAAAATGATACAGATCTTGCTATGCTCCAGGGTCCACAATTCAGGTAATCTCTACCATTATTTATATTTATACCCTGCCTTTTCTTCAGTGAGTTCAAAGCAGAGTACACGTCTCTCCTCCACCTTGCTTTATCCTCACAACAACCCAGTAAGGCAGATCACCAGTAAATTTCATACTTAACCAGGGACTATAACCTGGATCACTCCTATTCCAGTGCAATTACTATACCAAACTTGTTCTTAAATCCTAATGAGATAATTCTCCTTCTGCAACACAAATAGTCTTTCAAGGGCAAATTACTGTTTTGTTACAATCTTTCACTCTGGTGCCTCTATGAAGCTGAAGTATTCCTCTAGCATACCTGAGGATTCACATCCAAGATGCATGTCCTTCCAGTCTGAACAACTTCAAGGATGGAATCTATTTTGGTGCCGTAAAGATTTCCTTCATATTCTCCATGTTCCAAGTACCTTCCAGCTTTAATATCCGCCTCCATTTCAGCTCGGGATACAAACCTGTATGCTTGTCCATCTTTTTCATCATCCCTTGGCTTCCGTGATGTGACTAAACAGATTTGATACATATATGGAAATGTGACAAAATAATACTGCCTTGTATGTATTTATGCAATGCCAACTTTACAGACAGATGCTGGGACTTGAGTCCAAAATGTGCTCTGAAAGAAGAGAAGCCACTTAATTCAGGATAAGATGTCTGCTTTTCACCAATGCCTGCTTCCTGCTGCTATCCCAGGCACTACATCCCATCACATTACTCAGTGTCTTGCAAGCTGAATTTCAGGCAGCACAGAACAATGCATCAGGAAAGAAGACATGACTAAGTGCCATTATCTGAACAAGATGTTGACTGGAGTATTTTTTTTAAATCTGCAACTTCTGTTTTTCCCAAATAGATTAATAAGACATGCTCATTTAGAAGGATTATAGCACATTAAAGGAATTGGTCAGTCTGAACTTCCAAATCATCACATTTCTCAAAAACTCACTGTAGTAACAACCATGTTGCCAAACAGTCCAAACACTCTTCTATCTTTACACTATACAGTATTTAGAATTTTGTACCATCAGCTTCACACTGCTACAAAGAATGCACACTGTTATTTAAGAAACCAGAAGGTGAACAGGAGTAAGATCTCTTCTGCAGTGAAGTACATGTACAGAAAAAAAAATAGCGAAAGCAGAAACTGATAAAGGGGGGAAATGTAGGAAAAAAATCTTCCAAGAACTCAAAGCTGCTTGAAATGTATGAAAGAGAAACACATTCATTTCATAATGGGGGATTTTAATGCCAAGATAGTAGAGATTTTCCTGGAAAAGACAGAGTATGGAAAGAAAATGAATATGAAGACTGAACAATATAATTTTGTGAAGAATCTGCAGTCACCACTATCTAATTCAGATTATCACCAAGGGGAAAACATACATCCATGCACTGTGATACTAACAAGATTACAATGTACCCTAGCTAATCAGAGGTAGTGAAACGATATTATGTCAGTGAAAATTTATTTCAGATGTGATGTAAATTCATATCACAATCCAGTCATAATAATAGTGCATTGTCAAGTCAATTCTAACCTATGGCAGCCCTCTCCAAAGTTTTCTAGGTAGAGAGTGCACAGAAGTACTTTACCATCCCTTCTTCTAGGCCCTAGAAGAATCTTGGGGCATCCTGGGTCTGTGCAGTTTGCCCAAGGCCGTGTAAGGATGAACTGTGAGAAACCGAGCTCCCAGCCTCTGGCTTTACAGCCAGATCACTAACTCACTGAGCCATCCAGCTATAGTAAGACCCCTGTATCCGTGGGGGAAAGGTTCCAAGGGGTGCCTAAAACTGTGGATAGTACTATTAAAGAAAGTGAGAGGATAGAGAAGAGTGAGAGGAAGAAGTAAGTGCATCTGTGCACTGTGGGCTGGGCTGCAGCAATCGTGACCATAAACAACTGAAACTGTGAATACCGAGTCCATGGATAATTCATTTCAAATTAAAAAGATAAGAGGGAAAAATATTAAAAAACAGAAAGCATAGAAACTATGTGATTCAGTCGTATATACTCTTGTAAATTAGATTTATGAAGGGATCGATGAGGTCACACACTCCTCTAGCTCAGAAATAAGTGCTACTCACTCTAAATTAACAGAAGTATTAGTAGATGTGACCAACAGCAACCTCAAAAGTAGACATGCACATCAATAGAGTAGTAGATGACAGAAGAAATGATATAGCTAAGCTAAGAGACAAAATGGCAAAATAAAAATGAAATCAAATACAGAGTATACCACAGAACAATCCAACACAAAGTTAGGGACTCCTCCCCCAGTGGTGGTCCAAACAATGTGCAGGGAAAAGCAGAACTCTACACCCTTTAAAAAGTGCTTTAAAATATCAAGGAGGTAAAAGGCATATTTTAAAAATGAAAATGCCCACTATTGAGGTAGCAATAGCTTTGATACATGAGATCAAGGCTAAAGTCACAGTGTGGAGCACATTAAAGAGCAGTTACCAGACCAGCAGAATTTATTCTACCATATGTCAACCCTGATTTGGCAAAAGAAATCCAAAATGCAATATGACTCGTGAAAACAGTAAAACTCCTGCAGTTGATGATGCTTTCAACAGCAGTATTAAAGCTAATAGAAGATTATGACTTAAAGGTGCTTTAGCAAATGTTTTCAATCAAATCACAGAAAAGGAATCATTACTAAAATCTGACAACCACACATTATAAAAAATGAAAAATCCAAAGACTTGTAATAACTAAAGTAAAAAGACCTAATGAGCCATTTGCCTAAGGTTTTCTTAATAAAAAGCTTGAAAGGGCAGGAAGCATGCAATCTTTATCCAATATATTCCAACATGGCAAGCTGATGCACTTGTTGGTAAATGAAGGTCTTAAAAGGTATTTGGCCATTTATATTGGCAACAAAAACATGCAGTGAAATTTGAAACGCAGATAACAAAGGACATCAAGATATAAAAAGAATTTCTGTAAGCTCCTTTTATACTTGTACTTTAATTACATCTTAGAAAAGCACTTGCTGATTTAAGTAAAGTTTTTATTGCCAATGGACAAATTATCAAAGACAATTGATATACATTGACATTTTCAATGGCATGTGACCGTTATTCAATTAAGTCAGTAAAGGAAATAATAAGCATGACCCAAAAATGTATGGTAACACAATCAAGTTCATAAAAAGCAAGCAGCTGAAGAAATGCAGCTGAAGAGCTGAAACAAAAGTGCAGAGCATATTTATTTATTTAATTTAAAATATTTTCGTAAATGCCACCTTTCTCCTAAAGGATCCAAGGTGGCTTACAGGATGAAGTCTTTAACGAAGTTAAGAGCTAAAATAATAAATTATTACAATATCAAAAAATATTAAACAAATATATTAAAACTCATAAACAAGAGCTATATCAAAAGCTCAAGTAAAATAACAGAACAAACAGTGCTGCCCCGATTAACAATTACCCCGTTTAACGATGAAATCGCTTCGTGATGTTTTTTTTGCGATTGCTATTGCAATCGCAAAATGATGACTGAATGGGGAAAATCCGCTTCACAATGATCGGTTCCCTGCTTCGGGAACCGATTTTTCACTTTAATGGATTTCTCGCATTACAGGCACCAGAAAATGACCGACCTATGGAGGATCTTCACTGGACGCTGAGGTATTTCACCCATTGGAACGCATTGAGCGGTTTTCAATGCGTTTCAATGGGCTTTTTACTTTCACTTGACAACAATTTCGTTCTATAGCGATTTTGCTGGAACGGATTATTGTTGTCAAGCAAGGCACCACTGTACTAAGAATGAATAAAGACAAAACATTTATAAACCACAAGTAATCCAGAAAACTAGGTCACTATAACAAGAATCAAACAGCCAAGATTTTCCAGCTAGTAATTCAAAGTAAAATAAATGAAAGTAGTAGTGAAGGAAGAATTTATTGGCTGAAGAATGCTGTAAAATGGCTTGCATGCAATACAGTATAATGGTTTATAGCTCCTGCATTCAAGGAAAAAATAGGTTGATAACATCCAACACTTCCCGCAGAAGAGGAACAAGATGGAGAGGGCATCAAATTTAGAGAAATTTTAAAATCAGTAACATATGCTATCACCTCAACAAAAGAATTTTCTAAGTACCATCTATCTATTATTAAAACTATAAACAGATTACTTTAGCTCATCAACTATGGACATCCTTAAGTAATATTTCTTCAGAAGGAAACCATAGAGTCCAGTATGTATATTGCACAATGCACTGCATGGATTGTTCCCAAGCGAGTGTGCTTCAGAGTGCTGTTGCTCATGAGCTTATTGGACCTGTAGTGGCACCCCACATTAGAAAAATGTTTTAGATACAAAATATTGGGTATATTTATTCCTGGACTTACTAGGCTACACTTAGCCTAATGTTTTTGATACTATTAATAAGAAGTGAAATAACTGGAACTTCCAAGAAGTACTTGCTTAATAAATCAATGCACATATTCCCAGAGCTATAATCTTGTAAAGAGAAAAAACAACAACTTACATGGCACCGTGGTTCCAAATTTTGTAGGGTTCAGTACAATAAATCTGTTTTTCAAGCTTCTTCGGCCAACTCCCTGGGCTCCTATTAATACCAGTGTTTTTCTTTGAAATGGAGGCATTTTTGCTACTTCCTCGTATATCTGAATTTCATGACGGTCAAATTCTGAATACAAGATTGCATCACATTAAATGGAAAATACTTTAAGTTTTATGTTTACAGATTGCGTGTCCTAATGTTTTTTCACAGGCTCTGGAAGGTTCCAAGATCAACGGTACGGGCAAAAACCATGACGAAGAACAAATAATCTGCAGTGCCTATAAGTTCACTTCCAGTTTGAACAATGGGTATTTTGGAGTGTTAATCAGTACAAAAGGTGTACTGGGGAAAAATGAACCGATGGCTGTCAAACAATTTTGGGGGCTGCATGCAGCTTCTCTCTCCCCCCTTCATTAGCAGCAGCAGCAGTTTTCAGACAGTAAAGGCTCCTCCCCATTCCAGGAACTTGAAAGACTTTCCTAGGTCAAAAAGAATCCTTAGGAGCCTCGGACACTTACAGGAGGAACAAGAAATTTTGAATTAAAGATAAAAGGCTGTCACTGATGTCACTGCATGACATCAGTGTATGATGTCATCAGCCATATGCACACAGAGTGCTTGTCATCACCAACAAGATCCTTGTTAATGATTCTCAACTGATGAGCTTGAATCTACTAGCAGGGTACACTCTGACCTAGGACAGATGAACTGAATGATATCTAGTTATATCAAGTAAGCTTGTGACAGTTGCAGCTTGTCTCATACAGAAAGAAATTCTGCTCCTGCCAGAACTGTTTCTTCTCATGGCTGTTAAGAGGTATAGGTATCTGTTTTCTTCTATGTTAAGAAACAGGCAATGTGCAGCCCTGAAGCTGCATGTAGTCCTCAAGTTGTTCTGGCAGCCACCAGCAGCATACAGGAGTACCAGTTAATCTTTTAAACAGGACACACACACCTTGCACTCTTTAACACTCTAAAATTTCCATTGTTCAAACTTTAAGTAGACCTCTAGGCACTACAGATGATTTGTTTGTTTTGCCATTTTTGGCAGCACAGTTCTCAGAAACAGAAATTGGCTCTGGACCTGCCAAAGTTGCCCACTCCTACTCCAAATACAAAAGACAGATGAACATACACAAGCATTTACAAACACACACATATATATATATTTTAGATAGACATACAAACACAAACATATGTATGTATGGACAGTATCAGTATTTATGTACAATACGTATAAGTCACTTGTCAGATCAATATTAAAGGTAGGCACTGAATCTGAAAAAAATGAATACCACTTGGGTCCAAGCAGCTTAACCTAAGAGTGCAAAGGGCTCTGCTGTATGATAAGAAGTGCTGTAGAAATGAATACTGCAGTATCTGTAATATCAAATGCAAACAAACTTTTCTTGAGTCATTTTTCTTTGAAATATTTCATAAATATTCCTAATATGAATTAGAAATATTACAATGGCTGAAATCTTGTTGCTCAGCTCCACCTGTGCAACAGGAATGACTTTAGTGGCAATAGATTGCGACTGATAAGCTACCTTTTGCAATTGTGGGATGCTCACAGCTAGCTGCACATGCACCCTGCAATTGCAAAATGAAGCCTTTAATTAATCTGACATGGCTGATGATGTCAGTTCCCTTGTTCAGCCAGATCCTGCACAGAAATATTTTAATCAGTAGACTGCAAAATTCGTCGTTGTCGTTTAGTCGTGTCCGACTCTTCGTGACCCCATGGACCAGAGCACGCCAGGCCCTCTGCAAAATTAGTTCATACAAAAGGAAAATCAAAGGGGCAGAATTTCATCTGAAAGCATTTCCTAGGTTAGCATGGATAATAACAGAGTACTCAAGTGTCACATGACGAAATAATAAATTTAAAAAACATACATTTTTCAATATACAACTTTGTGTGTGCGTGTATTTCAGATATACATACACAAACAAACATATGTATGTATGTACAGTATCAGTATGTATGTACAATATGCATAAGCAAGTCACCTGTCAGATCAGTATTAAAGGTAGGCACTTTTTATTATAAAATAAAATAGAAAATAAAATGAAAGCAAGGAACAACCCAACTTTTTTCTGCTGGATTATATTGTTATTATGTAACTTTGTATACAAATATACCAATACCTGCATTTCTAGTCGTGAGATACATCATCTTTTTCTTCTTTTTACTACTTATTGTTCCACAAAAAGGGCCTGAAAACAAATGTAATAAAGCTGAACTCTCAGATCTTAACTATGCCATGGCAACTCATTCAGTGTAAGAGTTGAATTATATATTAAACTTAGAATTATTAAGTTTGATTTAAACAACTGCAACAATCTAGCTTTGTGTTAACAAAGTCATTGTAATGAACAATTATTAGACATTCCTAAAGCAAAATCTACTCCAGAATGTTTTTCGTAAATAATATTGCCTATTTACCAGCAGGTGGCAGAAAGGTCTCAGCAATTCATAACAAATGTTTTAAATCTGCTCTTTTTATCTTGCATCAAGCAAATTTGGATTCCATTATTTAACCCCATTGATGTTGCAGATACAAAACTGATGGACAGAAGCACATTGCTGTGCAACTTACCAGAACTATCCCAGTCTCGTCTAACGAATGCTTTCCTCTTCTCTTCCAAGAATTGACTAGGAATAAGTCCTGCACTTCCTCCTTCTTTGACGTGGCTAGCCTGGAATCAAATTAAACATGTATTGTATTGGCAGCAAGCCATAATCAAAACCTAATTTAAGCAATGCCTTATTTATCAAGCTTTCATTAGAAAATCAGTATGTTTAGGCAGAAAGCACAACACACTGGTAGTAGCTAATACGTGAAACATTTACATTCAAAATAGTGCAAGTATCAGAATAGTTGGCTAACCTTAAAACAGTAATCTGTATGCCAAAAGAAGTGCAATGCAGTCTTCAATAAACATTACTAGGTTATAATTTTCATGCCCTATTACCAGTTGGCTTTTAAAGCTATAATTACAGAACTGGCTACAGGTGTATGACATGCAAATTAAGGCGATTCAGATGATTCATAAACAGGTTTGCAGAATTAATCTAAACATATTCTTATAGCTTAGTCACGTAATCATATCTTAAAAGCTCTATTTAAAAAATCCAAATTTCAGACCCCCAGAAACAACTACATTTATTGTTATATATTGGCCAAAATCTTACTGCTCAATGTAGTAAATTGTGATAGAGTAGGTCCACTGAATCAGTGGGGATCTGGTGAGCCAACTCCTCTGTAACTGCAGTATCAGAACTCTGTATTTGGCAACATGAGTCTCTAAATAGGTTGAATTAATAAGCCCTAACTAGCATTAAGAGGAGAGTGCAAAAAACGGTCTGAAGATCAACATAAAAAAAACAAAGAGCATGGCCACTGGTCCCATCACCTCCTGGGAAATAGAAGGGGAAGACATGGAGACAGTGACAGATTTTACTTTCTTGGGCTCCATGATCACTGCAGATGGAGACAGCAGCCACAAAATTAAAAGATGCCTGCTTCTTGGGAGGAAAGTGATGACAAACCTTGACAGCACCTTAAAAAGCAGAGACATCACCTTGCCAACAAAAGTCCGCATAGTCAAAGCTACGGTTTTCCCTGTAGTGATGTATGGAAGTGAGAGCTGGACCATAAAGAAAGCTGAACGCTGAAGAATTGATGCTTTTGAACTGTGATGCTGGAGGAGGCTCTTGAGAGTCCCCTGGATTGCAAGGAGAACAAACCTATCAATTCTAAAGGAAATCAACCTTGAGTGCTCACTGGACAGATCCTGAAGGTGAGGCTCCAATACTTTGACCATCTCATGAGAAAAGAAGACTCCTTGGAAAAGACCTTGATGTTAGGAAAGTGTGAAGGCAAGAGGAGAAGGGGACGACAGAGGATGAGATGGTTGGACAGTGTCATCAAAGCAACCAACATGAATTTGACACAACTCCGGGAGGCAATGGAAGATAGGAGGGCCTGGCATGCTCTGGTCCATGGGGTCACGAAGAGTCAGACACGACTAAATGACGACGGGCATTCAAATCAGATTCATTGCAAGCCTTGCTGCATTTGCCTTCTTGCTTGTCTAGTTAGCCTATTGGTTTCAGTATCCAGAATAGCAAGGAGCTGCTAAGTACAAAAGGTGTTCAGCAACAATCATGTCACCTACCTGGATCATCTCCACATTCTACAAAATGCCAAATCCAGAGGATTCCCCAGGGGTTTTCTGGAATCCCCATGGCATTTCCCACTATGGTGTCCTTTCTTTTAGTTTAGATCAGCAGTTTCCAACCTTGGGTAACTCAGGTATTCCTGAACTGCAGTCTCAGAAATCCTGGCCAGCATAGCTGGTTTTAAAGGCTTATGGACATTGCAGTCCAAGAACATCTGTGTTACCCAAAGTTGAGAACCACTGGATTAAATAGATAGATAGCTTTGGAGTACTTTGCAGTCTTTTGTTTCTACCAAGCAGAACGATTAGGAGTCAGCTGCAAAAGTGACCCACTACCTTGCTAACCCAAACTCCAGATCATTTATAAACAAGTTAACAGCAAGTCAACAGCAAGCAGTTTTCGAAGAGGTTGCTGTGTTGCTTATATAACAAAAATGAGAACAAGAATTATGGCAAGTTAAAGACTAAAACTATCTCTGCGTGGTTATTTCTGTTATATTTCCCTTCCTCTTGTCTTTCTATAGCAACGTATAAAAATGCTTCTTTTGAAATGGGCTTTTTAACTACGTAGGGCATTTAACACTGAACTCTTCCTGAGATATTGGATACTGAATTTAAGTGTGTGTTTTATGTGTTTTAAAATGTTTTCAGATTATCATTTTAAAACAATTATATGTTTAAATATTTTAACTGACTAATTTATTGTGCTCTTAATTTTTATTTTTAATTATTGTGAGACACATTCAGTCTCTTTAAGGCAGCACAGAAGTGAAATATAAATAAATATGTCTGAAGACTCATACAGAAATAAATCCATTAGTCTTGAGAGTGCCACAAAGACTTTTGTTTTTATTTTTGTTATTCAATTTAACACTAAAATCCTTGCAAAAGCTCATTTCTTATCTCCCTACATTGCAAGATATTCCTGTTCTTAGTTTTCTGGTTGTTTTCCTAATAGTCCATGATCTACCAGAACTCCATCCTTTAACCCCATGACTGTCAACAAGTCTTTTATTAAGGACTCAAAACACTCTGTAGAAATGAAAGCATAGATAACATCTACCAGATGATCCTTTGCACTCAAGCAGCTCTACAACAGTTAGGATGTAATCTTTGTTGAAACTTCTCATCAGCAACAACTGTTTTATACACCTGATACATTTAATGTGCTTACTGTCAGTTTCAATGGCAAGGAAAGCAACATATTTGTTTCATTAGATTTTTTTATAATCCTAAAATTAGATTTCATTATTATACAACTCTTGTCTTTCCACTTGATGTATGAACTGTAGCCATTTCAAATTCAAGACCTCCTGTATGTAATAGAGTCCATGAATGTACATAAATGTAGTTACATAACTATTGCAATACATATATAATACAAAAACAAAAGAACTGTGGCACCTTAAAGACTTACAGATTTATTTCAATGGCTGAAATCCTGTTACTTGGTGAAGTAAGTCACACTAGAGTAGGCTCATTTGAAGCAGTGGGGAATTTAGTGAGTCAACCTCTCTGTTTCATTGATTCAAATGGCACTATTTTAGTTTCAATTTATTTTAGTGTAGTAAGCTTTAATAACAGTAGGGCCATTTGAATCTATGGAATCTATGAAGCAACTGACTCATCAAATCACCAGTGATTCAGTAAGCCTCTTCAACTTATTATACTAAGCAACAGGATTTCAAACAAAGGATATTTTCCTGAATTACAGTCCATTTCTTCATATGTGAACTGTTTGGACAAAGTTGCAGCATTTTCATAAGCTATACTGGCCAGAATCCCATTAGTTAGTTATGATTATGTAAATACAATGGCGTTAACTTCAACAGTGAATTATCATTAGCTGACAAATTGCTGGATGTGCTCCTTGTTGCACACCAACTCATTTGAATAGACCAAAATGAGGACTCCAATCAGCAACTTGTTAACTAGTGGCAATTTGCTGCTATAGCTTCTGCTAATGCACGTACACCAGTGTAACTAACCAATACAATTCTGGCTATTATCCTGGTAGACTGCAATGGGAGAAGTGGGTATTTGGGGGGAAATAGGGAAAATATGTGCACACTAGTAACCTGTATGCAAATGATGAGCAGAATGCCAAATATCTGAAGTAACAGCACTGCCATCCTTTCAGAAAGTATGATCTGTGATGGTCAACTATAAGGGAAAGTTATGAATACACTATAAGAAAGAATCCAGTAACTCCTTTCCTCCTATCCCAGTTGCTGCAGCATATGAATCTAGAAGCACGAAATTATTTTTGAGAGCTAAACTGGTTGGCTGAAAATTGGGGAATGAAGTTCTCCAACCAAAACAATTGTGTGGTTATATATAAAAGAACAATCATGGAACTTTTTAATTAACCTCACTCCCACCTTAGATTAAAGTTCCATTTCCATTTAACCAGCCCAACACATGGGTAAGTCATTAAAATTTGTGTAAATCTTTCATCTTATGTTAAGTAGAAACTGAAGCTATCAACTGGGATCAAATTTTAAAATTCCCGCATCTCTTATTCAGTTATTTGTCTTGAACATAAAGTTCACTGGATTGGATTGACAGGTATGATAATTCAGTTTACGTATCTCTGAGCATTCAAGAATGCATATGGAAAGTAAGTGCCTACAACTGAAAAGTAAAAGTAATCCCTTACAAGACCCAAATATAGACAGATCAATCTTTTAAAATATTGATGCATACTAGAACAAAGCTTTGCACACTTAAAAATGAATTCTATGATAAGGCTTAGAAAGTAAATCAAAAGATTTCAGAACATGACTACATTAATATCAGAGGGATTTAAATTAAGTGCAACATTTTCTAACCTGCCACCAGTTTGGGTCTTCTCGATTTACAATCTGAAGAATTTCTCCTCTGGAAAACTTAAGACCTGCTTCTTTGCAAGGGATCAGATTATCATTGTATGGATTATAATCAAAGTGACACTTCACAAATACCTGAAATAAATAACAAAAATGGCTCAAAATACTAATATTCCAACATTCTTGCAAAAGCTTAGCAAGTTCAAAAGTTGATTACATCTTAACATTTTTTATTTCAGCAAAACACAGACTATGGAGATTATCTTTTTAAGCTATAAAGCTTCTGATAGGGATAAAAACAGTGAGCGTAACTGGACCTGAATTACTAACATTAGTTTTAGCAGTGATATAAAAACAGTACCATAAATATTGTGTTAAGCATCTCCAAAACAAAACTGAGATGACTATTATGTTAATGTTGTCAAGGGAAACAGGACCACTTTCACTTTTAAATACAGTGCAAGGATTCAGGGCTTGTGCCACCTATCATGGAAGTAAAACGTGTTTCTGAACTTGTATTAATGCAGGGAATTAATCAGATGCATGAAGAGAGTTATAACTTCTATACACACTCACCTGTCCTAAACTTGCCCTCTTTGCTTCAGCTGCTACAACTGCTGATTGCTTTGTAAAAAACAGTATGCTTCAACTCACCGCTCTGTTATGAGTGGTGAGTTGAAGCATACTGTTTTTTAGAAAGCAAGTACAAAACTTTTATTGGAGATGATCAGTAAATGTGGCAATTATGTTTCATTTTTTAAAAATCCTAGCTTTCCTGCAAGACCTATATCTAGTTGTTGTTAAAGCTGTTCTACATGTCATGCTATATGCTGCATTGTGTTTTTAAAAAAATGGAAACTGCCATAGATATCTTTGAAGATTCTGAGTCATCCAGGTGTAGTTATCTGGAAGTTAAGTCATGGCAACTGGACTTCTTTCTTGTTAGGTTGAAATGTTTCACACTCATCCAAGTTCCTACCACAGATAATGTTAAAAGAACCAGGCACTTGTCACTGAAGAACTGTTGACACTTTGAATGTCTAGCAACAGTAAGGTTACTTACCTGTAACCATGGTTCTTCGAGTGGTACTCTGTGAATTCACATGAATGGGTTAAAATGCACCTGCACAGGAAACTTCGGAATATTCTAGAGCTAATAGACTAATGAAAGACGTTTCCCATGCTTCGCCCGCCTTGAGGTACCTCAGTTCTAACTGCCTGCCGCTGCCAAAAATATATATAGGACCTAAGGTGTAGGACATGACCGTGGGGAGGCTGGGCGGGACGTGTGAATTCACAGAGTACCACTCGAAGAACCATGGTTACAGGTAAGTAACTTTACTTTCTTCTTCGTGGACTCTGTGAATGCACACGAATGGGTGACTAGCAACCTGACTTACTGGAAGGTGGGCCGTCATGGCAGAACAGAGGTCAACACGGCCCTTCCAAAGTTCACCTCCTTCTTGGCTCTGACATCCAGTCTGTAGTGTAAAGCAAAGGTCAATGGAGTGGACCAAGTTGCTGATCGACAGATGTCAGAAAGGTCAATGCCACATAACCAAGCCGTGGAGGTAGCCATAGCTCTGGTGGAATGAGCTCTCAGTAGTACAGGTGGAGTCTTACCCATTAACTGGTATGCCAACTTGATAGCGAAAACTATCCACCTAGAAACAGTTTGAGAGGAGGCCGGTTGGCCTTTTTTAGGTCCATAAAAAGCATATAAACAGTCTAGGAGAGGTACGGAAGTCCTTAGTCCTAGAAACATAGAAAGCCAGCACTCGACGAACATCAAGGGAGTGGAGCATGCGCTCAACAGCTGAAGACAGATTAGGGAATAACATTGGGAGAATCAAGGACTGAATAACATGAAAGCTTGAAATAACTTTAGGGAGGAATGAAACATCAGGGTATAACACTATCAGGGTGGAACTGTATTATAGGGCAACTCATCCGCTCTCCGCGCTGAAGTGATAGCAACCAAAACCAAAGTCTTCAGAGAAAGAAGTTTGAGTGAAGTAGAAGCCATAGGCTCGAAAGGAGGGCGCGCAAGAGCCTTCAGTACAGTCTGAAGTGACTACTGAGGAATTGGGTGTCTGATGGGAGGACGGATACTATATAGTCCTTGAAGGACTCTTTTAACTGTAGGGTGAGACAGTAGACGTGTAGTATCCGACCCCACAGGTTGATATGAAACGATGGCTGACACATAAACCTTAAGCGTGGAATGTGCCAAGCCCAAATCAAACAAGTAACACAGAAATGTAAGGAGAGTCTCTACAGAAACTGAAACTATGACCAACCCCTTGGTTTGAGCAAACTTAATGAATAACGCCCATTTGTAGGAGTACAGTAACTTGGTTGAAGGCTTCCTGGCTCGATCAAGCACCTCTTTTATGATGGGGAAATCCTCCACACCGTGAGGTGAAGGGACTCGATGTCTGGGTGATAAACATTGCTCGCTCCTTGAGTCAGAAGCGCTGGATGTGGGGTTAGCCTCATGTAATCTGGTGTGATGCTCCTGAGAGTGGTGAACCACGGCTGTCGAGGCCACCATGGCACCACCACAATGACATTGGGTCTTAGCTGAAGGATTTGAAGTATTGTTCTTTGAATTAGAGGGGTAGGAGAAAAAAGGCAAAGGAGAACCTTGTCCCAGTCAACCATAAAGGTGTCCCCCATGAATTTCCCGCCCTTTCTCCCTGCCTTTTTGGGTTCTGAGCTCTCAAAGGGCTTTCCGCCCGACATCGGAGGAAGCCCTTTGAGAGCTCCGAAGGCACAGATTGCAGTGGTGGGGACCCCTAGGGAGGTCTCCCATGGTGTCGGGCAAGCCCTGGGAGACCTCCCTGGGGGTCCTCGGCCGCCGCAATCGGTGGCTTTGGCGCTCTCAAAGGGCTTTCCCCCCAGCATTGGAGAAAGCCCTTTGAGAGCTCCGAAGCCAAAGAGGCAGGGAGAAAGGGCGGGAATTTCAAATTTCCACCCCTTTCTCCCTGCCTTTTTGCAGGGAGCCATTTACAAACTGCTCTGTTGGCAAAAAATGGCTTTGACTTGTGAACAGAGCCTCGGCCTCGTTTGTAGGTCGAGCTCTGTTCGCAAGTTGATGCCAATTTTTGCCACAGAGCTGTTCGTAAATCGAAAAGTCTGTATGTATGGCCATTCATAAGTCGAGGGTTGACTGTATGCGTCCTGCAAGTCTATCATCACAAACCAATTGCCCAGTAACAGTAGAGGGACAATGGACTCTAATGTGACCATCCTGAAGCATCTCAGACGAATGTAAGTGTTCAGGCACTTGAGATCTAAAATGGGCTGTAGACCTCCATCTTTCTTGGGCACTGTGAAGTACCGGGAGAAGAAGCCGTCCCTTGCTTCTTGAGAAGAAACGTGTTGAATAGCGTGTTTCTGAAGAAGAGTAGTGACTTCCTCTTCCAGAGCGGGTGAGAAGGATGAGATTTTTATATAATCAAGAGAGGGGAGATCTGAGAATTCTAGTCAGTACAGAGCAAATAATGCTTAAAACCCACGAGTCCTTGGTGATTTCGGACCAATTTTTGAGGAATGGGGCCAAATGAGGAAGTTGAAGTATATTGGGGAAATGGTATATGAGGAGGAAGATATTGCTTGCTCTTTTTGGAGGGGCGACGGAACGTTTGATGACATTGCCTGGAAAGTTGTGATCTGTAGGAAGTGGTGGCAGAAGATGACTGAGGAGGGTTAGACCTTTCTTGAGAAGTCTTATGCTGACAGTAAGGCTGCTGGTGGTAAGTATGTGGTGGGTTTATGCCACTGTTGTTGTTGGCATTTCGGTTGTTGCACACAATAAGATCTTGCAGTTTTTCTGATTTTGTGCAGATTCTCCATTACCTTGTCAGTCTTTTGATTGAAAAGCCCCGCACCATCAAATGGAAGCTCTTCAATCTGTGCCCTGGCATCATCATTTATGCCTGACGATCTCAGCCAGGCATGCCCCCTGAGTGCTAGGGCCGAAGACAATGATCTTCGATGCAAGTAGTTGTTGTTTTGCTAAAGTTGTAGCTTCTAGATGAGCATTGACAACTGTAGCCCTAGTGTCCTCAGGTGCATTTTGTAGAACTGGTAAAACTTTGTTCCATAAGTGCCTCTGGTAGGCACCCACTGCTGCTTGATAGTTGGACACTCTCATAATAAAGGAAACAAGTGAATACATGAGACGACCGAGAACATCCAATTTATGACCTTCCTTATTGGTTGGAGCCACCCTGGAACGGTTTCCTGCCCTAGACTGATTAGATTGAACAATAATAGAGTTCAGTGCAAGATGTTTGGCAAGGAAGCTGGTCTCACCCCCATTATAATGATTCTCTGAAATGCAGTAGAAGACTGACCCCAACATTCCTTGGTCAGGTCTAGCATAGATGGGATGAATGCCAAGCTCAGTGGAGGAATTTTGTCCTGGTTCAAACTGTCAAAAATCAAATCCTGTTTGGGAGGAACCAGTTGATCTGTAGAGAGTTCTAATGTTTTGGCCATTCTAAAAATTAACTGTGCATATGAGGTAAAATCCTCAGATGGCGACGTAGGGTATATGTCAGCCGAGTCTGGGGTTGGCAGATTAGAGGGAGACTCTGAAGACACTTCAGAACCAAGATCTTGGTCCAATACAGATGACATTGATAGACTCCTAGATTCTCTTTCAGAAGATGCCGACGGTGAAGAACAATGACCAGGTCTCTGCTTAGAATAGCCCTCGAAACCAATGCCATGGATTGAGATGGAGTTGTCCTGGAAGACAGAGTCCGTTTGGAATGAAAGGTCTTCAAACGCGATGCCGAAGTAATCGGAACTGACTGTTCTCGAGTGTGCTTCAATGGTTGTGTCATGCTCTGGTCTTGTGAATGTAAAGGCTTAGTGGAGTGTCTTGATGTTGCTTTGTTGAGCTGGATATATTCTCGGTGTCAATGCCAAGGTGGCAAAGAGGATCAAGAAGACTCCGACAGAGACAGATAAACGGATCTATCTTTCTTTGGTCGAATGTACTCTGTGTCATATTCTGAATCAGCATAACTCTCACGGTACCGGCATTAACTGCGATGTTGGTCAACTTCCACGTAAATCGGCCCTTGATGTTCAACTCTGGTTCGGCGTTGAGAAGAATGCAGAAGCACTAGCACCTCCCATTGCTGAGATAACTGTTGACTCGGTGATACATGTCGCCGCTTCAGAGGAGATTGCCATGGAGAGACCTCAGTTTTACAACTCAGTAACTGTTGCCCGCCCGGTAGAAACAGGGCTTGAATGGGCTGAGGCGGGGCTGGAAAATATCTCAGCCTCAACATGGCCAGAGGTTGGTGACAGACTAAGAGCTGACACCGAAGCCTGTGGATCCTGTTGAGGAATAGATCCATCTCCCTCCAACAAAGAATCAAGCTCTTGAACTTCCTTCAAAGGCTCTTCCACAATCGGTGATGGTAAAGTGGCTTGAGTCAGAAGGGACTCCTTGAAGTATGTTTCGTCTTCTTATGCTTCTCCGGCTCCTTCTTTTTAAGATCTTTAGAATTTGCCTTCGGAATTGATGTCAAACCCGATGTCAAAGATTTCTTCGGTTTGGCAGTTTTGGAAGAAGCCTTTGATTACCCGGTTGCAGATGCTGGGGAAGCAACCGCATCGGAGCAAGGAGTCAAAGGAGTTGAATGAGTTACAGCCTCCATGCCTGTCGGTGCTGAAGGTGCTAGCGACTTCTCGTAAAGGAATGATTGAAGTCAATGCAGACGGAGCTTATGGGCTGTCTTAGTTAACTTCTTGCACTCTTGACACAATGTCAGCTGATGACGCTTCCCCAAACAAAACAAACAGTGGTCGTGTCTGTCAGTGAATGGAATTTTACTGGAGCATGACATACACTGTTTGAAAGGGCTCGATGAGGCCATAAAATTTGGCGGGAACGTAGAAGGGGAAAAGAAAATGGATAACTCACAGAAAAGCGCTATCCAAGAACTAAGCAAATCAAGCCATAAACCAGTCCAGTCCTTATTAGTATACCAAAAATTAGACAGTCAGATAATCAAGACAGCCAAGTCCAATCAGCAATCCAAGTCAAAAACCATAAACGATCCAAAGTCGGAGGAGTAAGACAATCATTCGCATCAACAAGAGAAAAGCTGAAAACCAAACCAGTCTATTGTTAGGGAATTCCAGATAGTCAAACGTAGCCAAAAACGAAACAGTCCGTGATCCAAAAGCCAAAGGATTAAGATTTGAAAGCTCTAGCAAATGTGAAGTATTCCTACAGTGGACCCTCTACTTACGGAATTAATCCATATTGGAACGATGGCTGCAGGTCGAAAAGTCTGTAGGTTGAGTTTCCATTGACCTACAATGCATTGAAAACCTATTAATCCCATAACCGGCTGTTTTTGTTCCATTTTTGTTCCATTCTGGTTTTTTTCTGGTCTGAAAGTCGATTCTCCGGCTGCAAGTTGAACCTAAATTTTGCGGCCAGAGAAGTCTGTAACTCGAAAAGTCTGTAAGTCGAGCCGTCTATAAGTCGAGGGTCCACTGTATTGTGGCGGCGACAAAAAGGAACTGAGGTACCTCAAGGCAGGCAGAGCATGCACAATATGGGGAAACTTTTTCATTAGTGTCAGTCTATTAGCTCTAGAATATTCTGAAGTTTCCTGCACACGCACAGTTTAACTCATTTGTGTGCATTCAGAGTCCACGAAGAAACCGCACATTTGCTTGATGCTGATTTCAAATCTAACGATTTAAATATCTGATTAGAATATTTTTCTGTCTTTTTTCCTTGTACTTTTCTTCATTACTCTGTGGATTTGGAACAGAATCAAAGAGAAAATGGCAGGCCAAAAAATACTAAATTAAATTGAGGAGAAACCACCCACCCCAATAAAATCAGGCAATACTTTTCCAACTACTATATCTACTATATATGGTTAATAGTTAACAGATGAATAAGGTACAACCAGCTAGTAAGAATAATGCAACATCACAAAAATACTGTCTTTCTTCAAGAACTTAATGTAAAGCTCTCTTATAAATAATACCGTGCAATTCTTTCTACGTAAATTCACAAGAAACATCTTTCAGAAGAAAATCCTGTGTGATTAGAACACATTAATTTACAACAAATCCATGTTCACCATGCATCTGGTGTAAACTAACATGGCTGACATCCTATTGCTTAGCATAGTAAGTCACACCAGAGTAGGCCCACTGAATCAGTGGAAATCTAGTGAGTCAGCTCATCCATAAGTTCCATTAATTCAAATGGGCTTACTATTGTTATGATTTACTATATGAAAATAAGTCATAACTAGAGTAGACTCATTTTAATAAATGGAACTTACAGAGGTGACTCACCGAAATCCTCAGATTCAACAGGCCTACTCTGGTGCAATTTACTGTGCTAAGCAACAAGATTTCAACTGTGGTGTACCTTGTACATAAAGAATTTTAGAGTCTCTCAGATGGCTGTTGATAAAACATGGATTGTAGAAAGCAGGTCACTATAGCACACTAGAAATGTACACACTGTTAAGTCACATGTCATATTTGAATAGAATGAGAAAAGCAGCAATCAAATAATGTTCATGTTTCTATATACCATAGGACTACTCACCTGTTGGGGAATAATATTATCTCTGTAACTAGGAAGAATCTTCAGAGTGACACTACCACTAATATTCTTCAGAAGTTCTTGCAGTTCTTTTGGATTGTTTCCAACTTCATGACCATTAACTTCCTTAATGATATCACCCACATGTAGAAGACCTTGTCGATCTATCATTCCTCCATGAAGGATTCTTGCAATTACTAGATCATTATTCTCCACCCTAAATGTCACACCCTACATGAACAGTGAAGAACATCAGGGTTTGCCTCTGAAACATTTATCCCCATTTCAAAACTAGAATCTTAATGTAGAGATTTCTTATCAGCTGACACCACGCAAGATCTGTTAAAAGTATACATTCTCATGATCCTGAAATCCAAAAGCAAAACGTAATTCAGGCAAAAAAACCTCACAAATGTGAATTTCTCAGACATTCAGAGTACTAAAACCAATTTTAATTATTCATGTTTCAATTAACATAAGTGACCATCTGCAAAATTATGAAAACAGCTTTGCGCAGGTGCAAAATCCATATGTTCAAGTAAAAGAAGTAATGTGTATTTTTGCTCCTATTGTTCAAAACATATTTAAAGAATTTAATATACCCAGTTAACTAACACACATACACACACCATTCTCAATATTATCTAGCCACTGGGAAACATTAATAAGTATTTCTGGCCAAAGCCATTCTCTGCCCACCCCTCTATTTCACACACAAAGATCAAGGACTTGTGCTCTTCTGAAAAGTTCTGGGCTACTTTTTGGCCTTTTGTTGAAGGTCAGGTGTTATGTGCAGCTCTGAAATGCTCACAACGGAAGTACCTCTAGCTTTTCGTTTTTATTTTCCCAGCTCTCATCGACCTTTAAGCTGCAATTCTTATTCAAGAGTGCAATTTACCGTCTTAAAACATTGGTTACAGATATCAAAAGAACAAGTATGAACAAATATGTCAAATATTCCTGCCTCCACCATTTTAAGAAGTGGCAGAAAACAGTTATTTTCCTCTAAATACTCACCAATGGCTCTCCTGCTCTTTTGTGAATACCAAGTATACGAATGGCATCTACTGGTACTATCTGATTGTTCACTGAAGAATTATTCATTTCTGGACTAGAGGGAGGAGACTCATAACATTTTGATGCCACAATATCATGAGCTTCCAAGAGTGACTGTAAATAAAAGAGATGAAAAGTGGTTGAACAAATGGGAGTGATTTTGGAGTGTACTCATTTTTTCATAAGCTATACCGAACCTCAACAGATAGTAAAAAAGGAGAATTTCTATGGCTCTCTTCAGCTACCAATTGTGGCTGTTCTATATGTTAAAAGTAAATTGGCAAAAGAAAAAAAAGAAAAATAATGCAGCATTCTTCATTTCCATGTGAGCTTTAAGAATCAAAATCCAGTTCCTCAGAGACAGGAGTACAAATACATGGTCTGTATATTTATATATACACCCATGACCAGATAAGGATACATACGATAGACAAAGTGACAATGGTTCATTAACACAGGAATGGAACTATCCATCTATTAATTATTTTAATTAGCACGTCCTAACCAGGTTAATAGCTGTAAGCTAGGGTGACTTGCTGTCATTGGAATAATAAAAGATGTTTCTGAGACAGAGATCAGTTTGTCAAGGAAGTAAACTGTTTTACACTCATAAGATAGTACAAAGAACTAGGTTCTTGATATACACAATGCACCAAGAAACCTTGATATCTACTGGAATGATTAGGAATGCACTAGAACTGCTTTCTGCAGCAGTTTCTGTTGTCTCCCTCTCAAACTTCTCTGTCAATTCCTTTATTTTATAATAACCATTCTGAGATTTGTGAGAGTGCCTTGGGAGATTTTTTCTGAAACAGGTTTCTCTGTGTTGCCATTCCTGATGCCAGATTTGTGTCCATTCTTTTGCACACAGATTGTTCTGTTTTCCCAATGCAGAAATCAGAGGAAAACTGTCTGATGAAGTTGACACAGATAACAGTAGAAGATTAGTAAGGAAATATATTGTGATGCTGCTGCCAGTGTAGGTAATCGGGGGGTGGTGGTGGTATGTAGGTTTATGATAGGACCCTGTTCTTCTCTCCATTGTGAGTGCCAATAGTTATTTAAATTGGGGGGGAGGGTGCCTGTAGGCAAGTATGGGGTAGCTGCCCAAGGCGTGGGAGATAAATACTGCCATTCAGTCAAATATGAATTTTAAAAATCATTATTCAATATTTCTACCTAGCAGGAACTTACACATTTCAAAAGCTCAAATTAGACAAAACGAATTTCTGCTTTCATATGAAGCTTATTTTTCTGCTCCATAACCGTCTAGAAAACAAGTCTTATGAGGAATGGTTGAAGGAGCTGGGTACATTTCGCCTGGAGCAAAGAATTCTGAGAGGCAATGTGAGCCATTTTCAAATATTTGAAAGGCTGTCACCTAAAAATGAATCAAACCTGCTTTCTGTAGCTCAAGAGGGTAGGACCTAAAATAATGGATTCAAATTATGAGAAAAGAGATTTTACCCAGACTTTAGGAAGAACCTCTTGGTAGTAAGAGCTGTTAAACAATGACTGCCTCAAGAGTGTGGTGGACTTTCATTGGAGGTTTTTGAACAGAGATTAAGCAGCCATCTGTTAGATATGCTTTAATTATGGACTTCCTCCTTCAGCAGGGCTTGAACTCAATGAGCCTTGGGGTTGCTTCTGGCTCTACAATTTTATGATTCTATAATTCAGGGAAGTCATGGTCAAATAATAATGAAGACAGTAAGACAAGGAAGATAGCTAACAACATCCATTGATTTCAATTTAACTTAAACTTAACAAATTTTATCTGGATCATAGCCACGGTGGTTGTTGTGGGTTTTTTGTGCTGTTTGGCCGTGTTCCGGAGGTTTTTCTTCCTAGCATTTCGCCAGTATCTGTGGCCGATATCTTCAGAGGACAGGAGCTAAAACCCTATGTTCTGGTGTAGTGCGAGGGATTGTTGAGTATTTGTAGCTGTGGGATCAGGTTTTTGTTCTTTTCAGGAGATCCCACACACTGCACCAGAACACAGACCGAGCTCTAGCTCCTGTCCTCTGAAGATGCTGGCCAAAGAGACTGGCAAAACGTTAGGAAGAAAAAAAACTTCAGACAGCCTGAAAAACGCACAACAACCATTAGATCCCCGCCATGAAAGTCTTCAAGAACACATAGCCACAGTGTTGGATGAAAATTGATTAGCAAGGTGAAATTTATTTTTCAAGCAAACAGGAGTATTTTTAAACCATTAGTGGAAATTTTTGTTACCAGAAAATGTGGCTCCTTCAGTATACCAACCAACTCTGCAATATTTTCATCTTTGTTTATTAATGGACTGATGTCTTCAAGAATCTCATTTACCAACTCCAGATTATTGTCACTTACAGCTTCCAGTTTAGAATCTTCCAGCCTTTCATGAGCCTATGAAGAATATACAATAAATCTTAAAATAAAGTAAAAGTGCCTGATTTATTGTTTACATTATGCTATATGGAACAATATTTCTACTTTTCTAACTGCACTGGATGTGCTGTAGTTTGTTCTTCCACACAGTTAAATTACAGAACTGGTGTCATCAACACGGATCATGTTGAAATGACAATTTACTGAAACAAACAAAAACAAGCAAAAAACCCCAGGTGTAACCTCTAGCTATCCCATCCGTTGGCACAAGTAATGTAAGAAAACAGCAAGACATAGCTATGGATATAGGAGCTGGTTTATTTTCTCACCCCACTGAAACCTAGGAAGTGTAAATGAAGTTAAAATCCCTTATAACAGCAACTTTCATGTTCAGTAATAGTAATCAGAACATTCAGCCTCTCCTTGTCCTCTGAAGACTGCAATACTGTTTTTAATTTCTAAGACCCTGACATAGCAAAACTGATGCTAGGAAAGCATATCCTTGCTTTTCCATGCATATCCAGATTTTCTGCATATCATGTGCAAACTTTGTAAAGAAATGTTTGCCATTCTTCCTTTAACACTGAACTCCAAAATTCTAACAAAATCTTGAATTTCTATTTCCTTCTCATCTGTTTGCTTCCCAAACAAGTATCATATGCTCTCCTGAACTGAACTATCTGCACAATTTACAAATTTCCTATTTCCATATCTCATCAACCATTAAAAATTCTGGAAAAATGAATCAATGGTCCTTCACTGAAATCAGATACAAAATACTGTAACCCTTATAATACAGGCTTACAGTATTTTGTATTTTATTTCAGTGAAGGACCATGATTTGTTTTCTCCATTTGCCTTGACCAAAATAAAGGTACTACATATCTAGAGTTGCCAATGAACTTAAGCTACCTCAATTTGAAAGGTCCATGGTTTAAGGTCAATTTTCATTCCAAATTGCAACTAATCTGTTGGGGAAATTGCATCAAAAAGGCTCCAAACCTCTCTGAAGCTTCTGTGACATTTATCTATGACCAGAGGTGGGATTCAGCAGGTTCGCACCTATTCTATAGAACTGATTCCTAAATGTACTATTGGTTCTTAGAACCGTTTGCTGGCCTGCGATGAATGAAGGAGGAGGGGCCAGGTGACCAGCGACGAGTGAGGGGAGGGGGGCGCAATTAGCTGCCTCCCTTCCTGCGCCACACTGAGCTGTCTGAGGTGGGGTGTGGGTGAGAGAGATAAAGCCCTGGAAAGAGCAGAGGCATCAATGGGGGAAAGGGGGGAGAGGATGAGTCCTTGACGTCACTGGAGGAAAGCTCATGGCCTCGAGGCAGAGAGGAGGGGTGATTGACAAGGCATGAGGGCAGGACACAGAGGGAAAAAGTTTTGGGGTGAGACCGCTTCAGTCAAACACCCAACCATCCTCATTTTACTATGATTTTTTTCAAGTTAAAGGTACCACATAAGACTGTTGCTTATGTGGTACCTTTTTTTTTAAATGTCCTGGGCATGCATCCATCCATCCATCCATCTATCTATCCATCTATCCATCTATCCATCTATCTATCTATCTATCTATCTATCTATCTATCTATCTATCATTAGGACATAGAACCTGTTGTTAATTTATTTGAATCCCACCACTGTCTATGACTCATGATATTAACATGTCACAAAAAATTGGAGTGCTCTTCACCTGCTGGCATGAGCCAAGCACTTCTCAACTATTCCCACCTTTCAAGTTTTACAAAGGGATGAAAAGTAATAATTACTCCACACCAAGAGTGATTCATACCTAAAACCAGTCCCTATTACATGGCTGATGACATTTAGCAACCCTCTATACAATGAGTTCCTTCATGCTACTTTCTAAAATTCATATTAACAAATCAAAACAAAAACAAAATAATACAAAATGAACAGTTACCTTAGCAAGTGATCTAACAATAGGATTTTCCATAATTCCTTTTAAGAAAATAAGGTCAATTTCTTCAGCTCCTGCTGATGGGGGTAATTCTGTAAGATTATCCAGAACCTGCTGCATTGCTGAAAAAGACAAACATGTAATAAAAGCAGATAAGCGAGACCTCAGTTTAAAGGTAGGTTTAATTATGATAAATTTAATATTCTCTTTCTTGTTAAAGTGCCCATGCAATCAATTAAGTGCCAAACACCTCTTTCCTCATTCAGTTGTCTGTTGTCCAAAAAGTATTCCAAAAGTGGATTATTAGAGATGGGGACGAATATAAAAACAGATCAGTTTTTCTGATGAATACTGTATAGCCGATTCGTCATATATTCACTGATCCGTATTTGTAAAATTTTGAATCAGGACAAATATGGTTTGACAAATATTTCCTCGGTTTTGTTGATCTGTTCATATTTGTTACCCGTTTTGGAGGCCTCTCTGACCTTGCTGGTGCCAATTCAAAGCTCTGGACAATCAGGACAGATCCTGGATTGGTATGTCCGGCAGCCAATAGCGCTACTTTTACAGAAATTTCATATAAGCTTTTCTGATCCGGCCGTCCCCACTTCTGTTCGTGCTCTCCGGAGCGAGAACATTTGCTGCTCACTGGCTTGCTGGTGCTCTTGCGGTTTCGCTTTTGCGGCAGGAGCGCAAGGACTTATATTTTTCTTTTTCATCATCATTCATCAATCATCAACTTTACTGGGAATTTGGAGAGGGATTTCAGGTAGCTTAGGCTACTTCTTTGAAAGGGCTTAATTTTATTTCAAATTCAATCAACCCGTTTTTCCCCTGGAGGTAGGTAGGTAGATAAGATAGATAGGTTGGGGGGGGGGTCCGGGGGGGCACTGTTGTCATATGACTATGGAATCTCTTTTCCTTTATATTGATTTTTCAAAAGTTCATTTTAGAGAGGCTTGTGTCTCTCAGGGAATTTGGTGGGTGGCTAGATTCATCATTCCTTTTTCCTCCAAAACTTATTTGGGTGTGTGTGTGTTTGTGTGTCTCTGACTGAGACTTAGCTGGCAGGGCTTTTCTTTTGGGACTTTTTTGGCTTCTCTGCCACAGTGGGTTGGGGGAGAAATTTTCCTAATTACATTATACTGGGGGGGGGGGCTTTGTTTAGGCAGGCAGGTCACATCTTAAAAGAATTACACCATCATCACTCTAAAAATAAAATGTACACACACTCTCTGACCCTCTTAGTTTCCTTCCCCTATCTCCATTGCTTTATTTGTTTAGTTGGTTTGTTAGGCAGGCAGTAGAAAATGAAGGGATTTCTTCAAGGGCAATCCAAGGGGAAGAAGGCTGTGAAGCTACGCAAGCTAGGTAGCAGCACTGTTATCATGACCACTACGTGCACAACCATGTCTACGATAACCAGTGTCACTGTCCCTCCTCCAGTGGCCTTACAGGCAGGCATGGAACCAAAGCTTCCAGAAGTGCCAAAAGAACAGCTGCCCCTCTTCCTAGAGGAATCTGAGGAGTTACTGGTTTCCGAAGATTCCCAGTCCAATTTGGAATCGGTAACGGCAGGGCAGGCTTCACAGCCGCCCACCCCTGTACCCAGAGTCATCGGTTCCCTCCTCCCAGACCAGCAGCACCCCTGGGACACAGAGTTATTCCCAGGTCAGCAGTCAGGGTCAGGCAGTGGGTCCTCATTTGGGCAAACATGGCAGAGGGGCCATGTGGGATCATTTCATGGCTCTCAGCGATGACCCATGGCTGGCACGCTGCAATACCTGCCTTGGGGTGGTCCGGAGGGGGTCAGACCCCAGGCATCTGTCTTCCACTGCCAACATCTGGAGAGGCACCATCCAAGGCTCCTGTCCAGGGAAGGCACTTCATCCACAGCGTCTGAGAGAGGGGAAAGAGCAGCTCTGGGGAGGCAGAAGGAGGTGCCTCATTTCAAAAGGGCAGCCACAGGGGTTTCTGGGGCCAGGAGCATGAAGCAGGCCAGGAGCATGGCAGACCCACACCCCACATTGGGTCCACCATGACCCTCAGCCGGCGGTCGAAAGGCAAGGCCCAGCAGGCAGCCACTTATCACGTCGCCAAGATGATCACCCTGCTCGGACTACCACTGTCCATCATGGAATCCTAAGCCTTCTGCCGGTTGCTGCATTTTTTGCCCCCTAGTACAACCTCCCCTCACAGAGAACTCTCAGTTCTAGAGTGCTGCTCTCGCTCTATGACTCTGTGAGGGAGGTGATCTATGACCATTTTTCATGGCTACAGGGACGCAAGGTGCACTTCAGAGTGGACCTGTGAAGCGGAGGTCAGCATCGCTACCTCTCACTCACAGCCCACTGGTGGCAGCCAGAGGACTTGAGTAGTGGTAGGACATTGGCAACAGGGCCGCGAGGAAGGCCCTTGCCCTGCCCCCAGGCTACAGGTTCGTTCTGCTGCAGGCGCAGCACATGGAAGCTCAGGCAACAGGGGGAACATTGCCGGTGAGTTCCTGTCCATGCCTGTTTTCCTGCCGCCAACTTCCTCAGTGCTCAACGGAGTCAAAAAGCCTGCTGTGCCCAAATACCTCCTTGCCTCCAGTCCTCATGAGGGCAATCTCTACTTCACTGGCAAATGTAATGTTGTGCTGAACTGAAGACAAACTCAATGCCTCATGCATGCCTCTGCCAAAGGGACCTCTCATTCTGCTGGGGCTAAATATAAGTCCCTCAGTGCCATGGGCTTCTGTACTGTGTAGTAAACTCTCCTGGGTGGACCCAATTTGTGGGTAAATAACTCGGAGTTACAATATCCAATCTTCGCCAAAGCTGGCAGGGGTGTTTGGGAAAGACATAGGAAGCACCATTGTGATTCTGGAGTCTCTAAGTACCTGGGGAGAGCTTTCCTGGGGGGGTCCTCTTTGTGACTATATAACCGGGGGTCCGTGATCCAATGTTCACCAAACTTTCGGGAGTTGTACAAAATCCATCTGAGGAAGCGTCCCTGCAAACAAATTGATTCATCAATGAATATTTGTATATTTTTATTTGTTGATTTGTTAACCTTGACAAACAACGGATCAAAACGAATCACCTTTTTTTTTATTCATACCCATCTCTAGTAGTTATCCAGGAACATACAAATTTATTGTTTAAAAAACCTTCACAGGAATCATGACCAATGCTAATGGTCTGAGTGCATACATACAGTAGCACTGAACAGAAGAAGTCACTACTGAACCTTCTTAGTATCTGAAGGCACTTGAATATATTAGAATGGACTTTTAAATAAAATAAAACAAAACAACCCACCACTATTCAACCAAAGCTGAAGACCAGAAATGGGTAACAGAGAAAAGGAATGGTAAGTATGAGATTTCATTATGCAATGCTGAGAGGTAAGCTGACAGGAAAAAGTAGCTGCTCCTTTAAATAGCCTAAACCTACAAAACAAGACTTTTTCCAAGAGCCATAAATGTCTTTATGGAAACACAAGGGTTGTGTAAAAGGATAACCATAAAACATGGAGTTTCAAGAGGCCATGATGAACAACTTGCATTACACATGCTATATTGTTAACAATTTCCATCATGTAAGATTTTTAATGGAATATGGGACATTTAAAACTACCTTCTCACTATATATTTCCTCAAAAATCCATTTAAATTTCTGGCCACTCTTACTAGAAACAAACTTTTAACCAGATAAAGCCACTTTTGAAATGAAAATATACCACAGCAGAGGTATTTTTAAACATTTTAATAAGCTGCTATATCCATAGTTTTCAATAAATGCACCCCCATTTCCCCCTAGCATTCACATTCTCCTTGAAAAGTATGTGTAGGAGGCTAATGAGTTACACTTTGAAAGCATAATCTTTGAAGCTTCTGACAGCCTTTTTTTTCTTTAGCAGATAAACCAAGGTTGATGCCAACCACACAAAGGTTTCTAGAACATAATGCACTCAGGCAAGTAAAAACAAAGAATAATAAACAGGGGTGGTGAAGAGAAAATTGAAATAATCTGACAAAAATTGAAAATATAGGTATATAAAATTTCTTAGCTGTGCTGGCAAACTGGGGCAACGTAGGGAAACAGTGTTAACTGGCAACATTTTTAAACTCTGTCTTTGAAAGTGCAAATGAAATGGTTCATTTTATTTATGTAACATTTTGTCCACACTTTTCTGAGTAATGACAATGGCTAAATACTATGCCAAAGTTTACTAAAATAGAAACCAAATGCAGCAGCTTGGTGAGGTGGAGGACCGCAGTGCTCAGAAAGAAAAAGCTTAGTTTGCAACAAGCATGGATTTTACTCTTATGAAGAAATACTGATTTGATCCTGCAACAAATCTGTCAAAATCAACTGAAATTGTAATACCCTAGAAGTGCATGCAAGAATATGAACACAAACGCAAAATCTGATAAAATATATTCCAGATTTCTAAAGGGACAATGCTCATCAAGTTCTTCCTTTTGCCACAGGCAATCCAAGTGCATGTATCCATGCACTATCACAAACAGAACATGTAGCCAATCTTCACACCAGTAAACAAGGATTAGTACTTCCCTAGCCTGCCGCCATATTGGCCACATTTTTGAACTCACTGTCCCTTTCCAAACTTCCTCTATTAAGCATATACCCTATTTTTAAATATTTTTCTGGTTTGGTGAATCATCATCAGCTAAACACTCTATCAGCTTAGGGCAGAAAATGAACAGGCATGTCTGGTGATATGTATTTTCAGTGCTTTGCCAGGGATGGATGCAATATGTACAGGCAAAAAGATAGTTAACAAAAGGGAAGCATCTTTTTATATCTGCATACTGAAGTGCAGATATCCTAGCACTTAGCAGTCAAAGTATGGCATGTATGGATTTAGGAAATGTGCTGGTGGCCCCCTTCCCCAAAAAGAGTAAAGTACAAACACAACATATGTAAGTGTGGGAAAGTAAACTATTAAGCTTTAATTTATTTATATTAAACAATCACTGTTAAATTGATGACCATGTTGAGAAAAATATCCTAGTGGAGGAAATGACAATAGTTTAGATATCAAACATCTAGGCATGGGACTTGTGTCTTTCGAACTGCACCTCACAGAATTTACCAGGAGTATCTCCAGC